GGGGTTTCAGGGCCACGTCGCGGCAAAATGACTGACTGATTTTTGCTGAGACACACACACAGGCAGGCCTACAGATTAAGAGAAGAATGGCAGCCTCCTCGAATTAAGCTTGCCACATGGCCTGGAATTTTATGTGCCCATGACTTTCGCAGTGAAACAACAGAGGCTCAAAAGTTGTTTGTCAATGATGAATGCATCAGAAGCGGGCAAGCATCAGAGACAGGAAAAGGTTGAAAGGTACTGAACGATTGACTGAACGATTGTGAAAGACTATTTATCAAGGGTCCAACAGAATGTGCATGAAACATCCTGAAGAAGGGTTTGTTTCATTTTATTTTGTTTTTCAATTCGCACCAAAAGGACCAGTTGTCAAAGTTGTCACCATGTTTGGTCAACAGGACATGCTACTGTGACGCAACTTGGAGGCCCACTGAGGTGTACATAGACTTCGGTAGACCTGCAAGACGCTGAAAGCGATGATGTCTACTGGACAATGACGGGCGTAACATGAAAGCACTTTCCTGGACGCGTTTCCTGGAATCCTGTAAAGTCTCAAGCTTGCACAACCAGTTCAAACAAAGAAGTGCAAATGAGTCATCTGGTTCCAGGACTGCAGATTTGATCGTGGGTCTGCGTTAGAAGTTTCCTTTTTTTTCACACTTAACGATTCAAGTTTCATGCAATCAAACATCAACTTGAAAATTGGCAGTTTCGAATTTGAATGAATGTTCATTCCATTCACATGTTTCGGATGAAGCTGAATTTATTCTCTTGATGGCTCCAAGCCATGTGTGTTCTTGGAATGTTGTTGAATTTGTTTGAGAGCGTTTGCATTTGTTTCTTGAAACAACCTCGCAGAGTGAAACGACCGAGAACTGCCAAAACCGAAACTTGCAACTCACTGATGCACATATTTGAACTTACTGTAACTGTGCTGCATTCGCACAAACATTCGTGGATACTTGGAAGCAATGGCCTCGGCGAAGGAGCTTTTGGGTTTAGACGATGTTCTGTAATGTTCCTGTCCACATGCTACAGTAGCGGATTTGTCACAGGCCACCTTTTCGATAATCATTGGGTACATTGGCTAGGTTTTTTGGGCATCTTGTCTTGTTGGGTTTGCGAGTTTGTGTGAGTCTTTGGCTTCTGTGGTTTGTACAGCTGTGCGGAGAGCCCTTTGCCAAAGGAGACCTCGACGCCAGGTGGGATTCAGTGGCCAGGCAGTGCCCTGACTAGAGCTGAGGCGCGTTCAGCAAGAAGTGGTTGTGTGCATACGCTTCTGAGGATGCATGTTGTTGATTTTTGATGCACGTTGATGATTGCTGATGCATGTTGATGCACTTCATGCATGTGATGCCAATGATTTGAGGCTCCGGAGGGTCGAAAAGTGGGCTCGCTAAAGCGGCGGGTGCGGAGCCAGCTGGCCAGATGCGAGATGAAAAATTGCACGCCGTTGTGGCGCGAAGCACATTTCGAAGCCAAATGTACAAAACACCTCGGTCCGGACCACTTTTGGAAGTTGAGATGTCGAAAAAGTGCGCCGTTGTGGCGCGAAGCACATTTCCAAGTCAAAATGTAGAAAACGCACCATTGTCGGACCACTTTTGGAAGTTGCGATGTCAAAAAAGTGCACGCTGTTGTGGCGCGAAGCACATTTCGAAGTCAAAATGCACAAAGCACCTAGCTCAGATAACGTGGTTTGATCTGCCTTCTGATGAAGGCAGTGGCATGTGTGTCCGATTGATGAAATCCTGCTATGTCTGCGCTGTTTGGGTTGGCCATCTGGTTATCTGGGGCAGGGCTGGCTGCCTTTGCTGGTACTTCATTGTTGCTGTCCATAGCTCACGTAACGTAATCTAATGCAGAGTTGTGGTTTAGCCAAGACATGGACAGTGTATGCATACAGGTTTTATATGATTGTTTTCTTTTTGTTGTTCCATGTGACAGGTATGGGCCTCCAAGAATCGAAGTAGCTAGTCGTGTTGAGCACGCATGCATCGTGTCTAGTGATTTTTAGTTTCGAAACCATTCCCATTGGATTTCTTGATTTTTGACAGCAAGCCTCCAACACTGGTTGTTTTACCCAAAATGGCAGCTAGTTTCAGCTTCCTGAAATTGTTTTTGTTTTAGCGCGGTTTGATTGTGTGATAGATTCAGGTTTCTTATACCCGCCCCCTCCATTCGGTTGTGAGGATTATTTTCGACAAGACAGAAGATGATGCAAGTTGCGTAAGTCCGAAAATTGTCCATCAAAACATCATTTTGTGAGAATTTTACGTGCGTGATATCCAAACGTACATCTTCAAAGGGAAACGTGTTGTGGTTCTCAAAATAGTCTTCAACAGTTGGCCAGGAAATTTGCCAATGTGTTTTTGTGTCGTCGGAGATTCATTTGCAACCATTCAGGGTTTAATGCTGTTTATGTTGAACCACGTTGGCGGCCTAGTACTGTTGATTCTGAACAGCTGTGAGAAGCATTGACCCAAGGTGGTTTTGAAGCAGGATCAGAATTTTATTTTTGAATTGAGTGATTTTATTTTGGGACCGCCTCGGCTCTTCTCACTATGAAGAGCTTCACAAAAGGTTTGCTGAACGCAATTGATGATATGTGTTTTGACATGTTTTGTGTTTGCAAGACACTATGGAACTGTGTCACGAAACCGCAAACTTGTGTTTGGGAGCAGATGGCTAGTCTGGGAAAATCACTCGAGGAATGAATTTCATGACTGTTCAGGGTGCATGTCAAAGTCCAGACTGGATGTCCCCCAGAGAGGGAGAGGGAACGAGAGAAAACGCATGCCAAAACACCAAAATCAGCGTTCTTAGTTTCATTGCAAGTCGCTACAGCTAGTCCAAAGGAAACAATCTGAATATGTAATGTATGATTCATCGTGAATCAACCTAACCAATTCAAAACTTTGTACTGATGGTTGAAATCTTGATGACGGGAGTCTTGCTTCGCTGAAGGCTGTCTGTGGAGTGCCTGACTTCCGTTGAATTTTGCTTGACATCGGTGTCAGGCATCGAACGCTGCGAATACTCTACAATACTTTGCGTTTCTTGGTCGCACAGCACGTAGTAAAGGTCATGGATAGGATATTGAACAGTACTTTGCATTGGGCCCACGCCAAGAATCTGAAGCCGGCAGCCTTTGGGATAGTTTATGTGTTTGTCATGACTGACTTCACACCAACCACAAATGATAGGCAACAGGATATTGTTTCCAATAGCAATGTCAATTGCTTGGGTGTGTGTTTGGTAGCAATGAATTGAGCAAACGGTGACTACTTGTGCCAGGCATAGTGCTTAATTACAAGTCCATTCTGCGGACCCATGATCTCTTGGTCGCTGAACAAGGCTGGAAATGCTGTGATACACACTGCAGCCGGTTCATGTTTTTGACCCATGTGTGACATTGGCATGTTTGAGTCAATACAGTTTCTCCATGTTTCTCCCAACAGTTCAAAAACTGGAATGGGGGAGTGAATGCATCGTCGCAGGCCTGAACTGACTCTCATGAATGACATGCACCTTTCTCAGACTCAGAGATCGCTTGAACTTCATCGTCTTCAAGATCTATGGAATCCTGTTTTCATTGAATTTCTGCCGAGGTGCTCCTTGACCTTGTACATTTTCATTGCAGAATGTCTGTCCTGAATAGACAGGTACCAGATGCATGTAATATTATACATACACACGATGGACTTCCATGGATTTCCTACATGGTCTTCTTTTCCAGCCACCAACCTGAAAGTGTCACTACATCATGCCAAATCCTTCGAAAAGAGCAGTGAGTCATGACAGGTACAGCCTACAGTCATCATCTACTGTCTCATTCGACAGCAAGTGCCTGGTGCCTGAACCCATGCCTTTGACTCAGGCCTACTTCGCCTTTTATATAAATACAGCAATTTGCATCTTCAACACATGCCAGGATGCAAAGTGCATGCCGTCTTTGGCAGTCAGATATGTTCCGAAACTGGAATTACAGTGTGAATCGAACGCACTTGTTTCTATATAATCATGTGCCATGATTGAGAAGGAAACCCTTCCGTGTCTAAGGTAAGCAGCTGCTGGATTGAGGCACAGCTCGGAAAAACACTAAAGTTGGATGAGTTGGTGTTTCTGATTGACACTGCAGATGTTCGAAATACCAGGGCCGGCGGCATGCGAAAGCTGTAACGAATGTAATTTGGGGCAAATTTGCTCCTTTTCATCTGCATCGCCACTAATGTCAAAGAGCTCAGTCGTTGCTGGCCCGAGCAGGCGCTCCACCAGAGATTCACATCCGTCAATGGGCAAGAGCACACACAAACACGCTTTCTGACTGGGAACCAAAAGTCGGCAGAAAAAGTGGAACAGCAAAAGCCCTCAGGGATGCACCAATCCTGTCCATCCAGCACTTGAGCTCCTTGTGGACCCACTATGCTGGGAATTCCTTACAAATGATGATCTTGAAGAGAAAAATATCATTGCTGTTCAATTTTCATTTTGTTGATGAGATTCGCACATTGGGACAGGTCGCGCTCAACAATTTCACACTCCACACATGGGATCTCCCTGCTTCATTTTGGAAACATGCATTTGTTCGACGTGTACGGGGTTCGACATGTACGGGCAATAGGTTAGAACTATTGGGAGATCTTTCTCCAAACCTGCCAGCTGGTAAGATATCGCAAGATTGAACTATGAAGTGAAACAGAAGATCGCAAAGCAATCATGATGCATGTGCTGCTACAGCAGGCTCTTTGTGCTTGAAAACGGATATCACAGCTGCAGCGTTCAACTTTTCAAAACATTTTGTTTTCGTCCAACTGCAAATCACCGCGGCATACGCTGACTAGTGATTAGTGGTTTGAGGTGGTTGCAAGACATAACCAAAAAGGGCAAACCGGCTTTTTCTTTCCCCTGATCGGGGTTTTGCATTTTTTGCTAGAAGAACCTGATATCAGTGAAGAGTTACAGCCAATTACGGTACACAACCTGAGACATTCGTCACGATGTCGATGGCGCATGATTGGCGCCCATGCACATGGCGGGTAAATGACAAGCTGGAAGCATGGATGCTTCTTGGCCGAGTATTTGAGATGGTCTGTTCAATGGATGTCAACATCAATCTATTTTTCTTCGTTTTGCCTGCTGTTCTTCTCTGTTTTGAGGTATTTGCAGCCGGCTGTCCAACTTTTGTTTGTCTCACAGCTGGCACGGCAGCTTGCTGAGCAGCTGGATTGCGAAAGGGGCTGCTGCCAGCTCACATGGCGGGTAAGTGGCAAACTGGAAACATGGATGCTTCTTGGCCGAGTATTTGATATGGTCTTTTCAATGGATGTCAACATCTCTTTCTCTCCTTCTCACCTGCTGTTCTTGTCTGTCTTGAGGCATTTGCAGCCAGCTGTGAAACTTTTGTTTCTCTCACAGCTGGCAGAGCAACTTGCTGAGCAGCTGGATTGCGAAAGGGGCTGTTGCCAGCCACCAGTCTTTGAGGCCACCGCGCCTCTGTCAGACTCCCAGCTTCAGAAATTTCCTGTCCCAGACAAGTTGAAGTCCTTGTGTGTCACATTTCAATCATGTTCAGAAGGTGTTCAATGCCTCGACCAATGTTTGAAAGAGCGTGGAACTCAGGAAGTCATGCAATTTTCAGATGGTTAGATGATATTAGATGTTACATCCTTGTCAAGTCAGTGATATAATGATTTCATTTGCGGCCCTTTGCGGCCCGTTCACATGTGGGCAACATTGCCAAGAACAGTAAAAGGGCTACGACTCTCCGAAATTGCTCGACATTTTGACACCAGCCCCCTGCTGATGTCCACGCCATCGCGTGAGCCTGTTGTGTTGCATTCCTTGTCTGCGGGATCCTTCCCAATCAGGACCTTTTGCCAGTGGCTTCCACAGAGGAGGAGTCCGAGAAGGACAAGAACAGGCATTTGGCCGATGCAAACTGACACTTAGTGGCCATGTCTTTGCGAGAAAAATTGCTAAGTACCGACTCTCAGTCAAAGGCACATTGCGAAGACATTCTAAGACGATCTGTGACACAGTTGTGAATCAAGCAGCCGGCTCATGCAGCGTAACTCCGTGTCTTCTGAACTCCTTTCCTTCCGTGCTGCACGGAGGCGACTCTCATTCGGTACGACGACTACGGGGGTGCCCGAAGAGGATGATGTGCTTTCCGAGTTTGACGAGGAGGAGGATATCAATAACGTTGATGATCATCCGGACGGAGATGGTGGCGTTGCACAGGCCATCTGCACATCTGCAGAGTTTATTCAACAATTCAGTGTGTCGACTGTTGACTGTTCTCAAATTCTATCCATGGCTGTAGTCTTGCAGTCCATGTTTGCAAGTTAAATGTGGCAGCGATGCAATTCTTGCTCGATCAGCATCAAGCCATGACATAGTCACTTGACATTCCAATGTGTTTGGCTTGTCGCCTCCACTTCACCTGCATTTTTTCTGTGCGGCTTGATCGACCTAGGCATCCGGGCAGCGAGGGTTGCTGATGACTGACTCCGAGGATGATTCAGAGGTGCCGACATAGGGCTGTCAGGCGAAACAACAGAAGACCAACGTTCTTTTTGTACAACGATGTTGATATCGGAGATTAGGTTGCAGCGCAGAGTTGGCGTTTCTGGTCAAGTGGGTGAGCTATAAAGGGACCAGAGCGTTTGGCTGGGCTAGGCGGCGAAGCCGCAGATGCTCGACATCAGCAGCGATTCGGACGGCGAGTCCGAGGTGCTCACACCGGGGGGCAGATCCAAAAGAAAGAAGGGTGACACCCTGGGTGCATGAGCGAGAATTTCATAGAATTTCTATTTCATGTTATTTCTATCTGATTTTTGCATCGGTCCATTTTTTTGTCCAACATGAAATCGCTTCATTATCTTGTGTCCTTCTAATGCCCCCCCCTCCGAATACTGTGAACCTCGATATGTGACAGAGGCGGATCATCCGAATGGTGCTTCATGCACTGGGGCACAACAATCAGATTGCAAGTGGAAGCTTGGCCAGACGTTGCGAGAATGATTCTCTCATGTCTTTTTGTACTCGGAGATTCAACTGGATGGAGTTTGGTTTGACCTTCCTGACACGATCTGGTCATTTTTTCTTGCCGAGGGCTTGTGAAGCTGCAACAACCTTGCAAACAAGCAAGAGTTCGGATGCTGCCAATGGAGCCGTTTGGCCGGAAGTACAAGTTGACGACCGCTTATTCTGCCAGCCAACCTTTCAACCAAAGACAAAGCACTTGGGACCCATGAACGTTCTTCTTTTGGTGGCTTGAGCGTTTGAGTGATGAACTCATGAATGTAGTGCAGCTGTTGGAAGCCTTCTTCTACTCTCAGGATTTGAAACAATTGTGTTGGTGACGCACTTCCTTCCGAAAGGATAATGCTTCTGAATGTTGACCAGGTTGTTCAAACCACCGGTGCAGCTACTCTATGCACTTCTCAGACTCTTGTTTGCATTTGAAGTGGAGTTCTAGCCGCAAGGTATCATACAAATCGAAACATCTTTGGATTGTCTAGGTTTGCCTTGTGTGTGTGTGCGTGTGCGCATCAAGACTAGGGCACGTCATGGTCTGCGCATCGAGAAATGGCATGATATGAATCCTTGGCGACTGCAGGTGCCAATCCTTGGAGGCCAGTTTCCTTCCTGAGCTACTCGGCAGAACAAAGACAAATTGAAACTGACCCCATTCGCGGTCGGCAGCTTGCTGCGGTGCTGAGGATATTTCTTCACGTGCTGGGCTTTCTTCCCGTGCCTCAACTAAGACTTATGAAAGGGTACATACGAGTTGTTCTGAAATAAACGAGCTGTCAGGCAGAAACTACAGAGTTTGATCATTGTTGATACATCTGTTATAAGTGCATTTGCTCATATTTTCTCTGCCTGAAATTTGGACCAAGCCAAGGTGAAAGAAGTGATGAAGCAGAGGGTTCGGGCAGTGTCCAGCAATTTTGGCTGCCACAAGGCTGGTGGACGAAAGGATCAATCTTTGCATTCCGATGTCAACTGGCAACTCTTTTAAGATGGTGCAGGTCTGGCTAACTCACTTGTTCCGCTTGGTGGACATACACACACTTCAGCCGCTGAGTGATATTCCGTCGCATGGCTGAACGCAGAAGTTTGTGGTATTACAGAAGTAGTTCTTGGATGTTTTTGCCGTGTCAAATGCTTGCTGTTCGTGGTTGTCTTTCAATGCCACTCATTTTTTGCTACACACCACGGTCCCAGCTGGAGATCTTCGAAGGGATCTCCATATGAAGATCATTGTCGGGAAGGGAACAAATCGTGTTTGGCTTTCTGGGTTCCATTCCTGGCCCTTTCCGGTTTTTGCTCTTGTCCTGTTTACCTTTCTGGTATACTTATACAGTTCTCTTTCTTTTCTTTGTCTCGTTTGTTTGTTTCACCCCTTTTCATCCCTTTTCCAGATTTTCCAGCGCCTTCTCCTCTTTGACATCCTTTTTCCTGTCCGTTCCTTGCGCTTTTCAATTGCTCCGGCTATTGCACCGCAACTATACGCAACTTGCGATCCTGATATTGAGACAGTCTGAGCGCTCCAGCCATTGCCAGTTGACTGGGACTGCCAGCTATGCTACTACGGCGCGCTGCTTTGGATGCAATCTGCTGCTCCCAGCCGCCACCCGCAAACCCACTCCCAAACTTCAGTCGTAAACCCGATCCGTCATCACCTCCGAAACAGCCACAGCCACAGCCCCCGCACCAGCCACCGCCACAGCCAACGCCACAGCTACCGCCACAGCTACCGCCACAGCCAGCGCCACCGCGCCACAGCTGCCACACGCCGCCACACGCCGCCACAGCCGCTCCCACCCCACCACTACACCACCACTCCCCACACCCCACACCCCACACCCCACCACTCACCACCCACCACCACTACACCACTACACCGCTACACCACTACACCACTACACCACCACGCCGCCGCCACCACCACCGCCGCCACCACCGCCGGCACTGCCACCACCGCCGTCACGACTGCTATTGCAAGCCGTTTCGAAGCTTTGGAACTAAAGACGTGTGAGTGCAAGAATCTTGTCGTCTGAAATAATCTTGTCGTCTGAAATTGAGAACCTCAGTGAAATGAATGCCCAGGACGGTGCGAGAGTGGCATCCACTTGAAGAGTTCGCAGCTTTCCTTTGGGAGACGGAGAGCGAAACCGACCCATCACTGTCTATGAAAGATCGATTCCTATCAACACTGCGACGTCTTGCTGATTCTAGCTCAGAGGGCTTCCAAGGTGGGGGAAATTCCCGCTGTGCAGGCAATTGGAACCGTTTTGCAAGCAGCTACTGTACATATCAACTTGTGCTGTGATTAGATGACAAAGGCTTCCTGCATGCCAAAGGTTTCTAGCTTGAGTATTTTGGAATTGCATTTTGAGCCAAATGTTACAGTTTTCGGCAGAAAACAGGGAGGGCAGCACAACAGTTTCGCAGCAGTGAGCACGCCCCAGCCCAAATCATTTCAAAGAAGACGGCAACTTTGCCAAAAGTGTTCCAATGCAGGGATTGGAGTGCAGGACACTCTTGCCCTTTCCCGCACCTTGTTTGCCCCTGTGAGGCTGCGTTCAGCTCTTTCTTGGCCCCTCAAAGCGGGTCGTTGGAGTCAAGCACGAAAGTTTCGGTTTCATCGAGGCAAAGGCATTCGCTAGTTGCAGAAGAAACAGGCGGGTTGTGGCACACTTTGCAATCGGTGCGCTGTGTTGGCCAAAACTATGCCCGGCCCAAGTTCCAGATGGTTTCTTGTCGTTTCCCCCTAATACATCAGCCAAATTTGAGGAGTTTCAGGGCCACGTCGCGACAAAAACACAGCTGACTGATTTGTGCTGTCACCCGCAGCGGAAGAGGAGAATGGGATGGTTCTCCAATGAATCTTGCCGCATGGCCTGGAATTTCATATACGCTGATTTCCACGGTGAAACAACAGAGACTTAACATTTCCTTGTCAATGGTGAATGCTGAATGATGATGAATGCCTCAGAAGCTGGCAAACAACAGAGACAGAGGCCAGAAAAGCTGAAGGTAGCTGAAAGGCGTTTATCAAGGGTCCAAAAGCATGTGCATGAAGCATCCTGAAGCCGAGTTTGTTTCATGTTGGCATGTTTTTCAAGTCACACCAAAAGGACCAGTTGTCACCATGTTCGTTCAACAGGATCAGTTCCATGCATTTCTGAGGATTGATGTGATGTGACGTAACTTGGAGGCCCACTGAGGTGTACATAGATTTTGGTAGACCTGCAAGACGCTGAAAGCGATGATGTCTACTCGACAATGACGGGCCTAAAATGAAAGCACATTCCTGGACACGGTTCTGAAATCCTGTAAAATCTCAAGCTTGCACAACCGGTTCAAACAAAGAATTATATATCAGAATCGCAAATCAGTCATCCAGCTCTCTATTGATCAGAGCTTGCTTGACCCGGCTTGTTCAAGCAACGCTGTGAACTTGGCAAATGACCATGACATGATGCAGGTATACATGCTGACATATGCTGACATATGCTGACATATGCTGACATATGCTGACTATAGTTTATAGTTTTATTTACATTACCAAAAAACGACCATTAAGAACAAAAAAACACATTCTGAAACTAAAGTTAACTACAGCAGATACAAATTGTTCTGAGTCTAAGTCAAGATTTAGGTCTTTTTTTTTTCGCATGCCATGTTCCTGTTTGTGCCAATGCCTTGCCAGCACTGGTTGAGGGACGGAGCCTTGTTGGATTTGGGCAAACATTACATGGACTTCAATTGTAACCTGGATCTTTTGAAGCTCGCTAGTTTCTGCTCGAGTAATTAAATTTCGGATCTTTCGGTTTTGGTTCGTTTCAGTGATTTGTGCTCGAGGTTTTCTAGCAGTCCCAGGGTTCCGAACGACAACATTTTCAATGCGTGCTCGTTTGCCCGAAATTGTGCTCGTTTGTGCAAACTCGCGCTCGTTGTGTGCCCTACTTTTGCCCAAATCAGAGAAAACCAAAGTGCATTTGTCAAAGTATGATGTTTGGTTTAGCGGAAAAGGCACGCGAAACATTTCGACCCCCCTAACAAGAACAAATTACTGCTCGTTGAAAGATCTAGGAAGGTTTGCTATTATCATGATAGGTGAATATATGTGATATGACAAATTCCCAACAGAGCAGGATTGCGATAGTTCTCCTGTGGTCCTGTCGATTTGTCAAGCGTCTCCAGTAGAAACATCAAGTCAGAAAATTGTGCTGCTAGCCTAAAAGTCTCTCCGACTTGCGAAGACAATGCTCATGGTGTTTGCGTGTATGTACGCAGGTGTAGTGTGCGTATCGCTTTCATGAAGGAGTGGCGAAGCACTACAGGGTCCTCTTGCGGACTGGGGTCTGTTTTTGCTTCTGGTGGTGGGATGCCGAGGAGGTTGTGGTGCAGAGTTCAGCAATTGCATGTCCTTCGTGTGGCTCTTGGGGTTTGACCCGAGGGTGTCTCTTGGAGGCTGCAGGATGTTTGAGTCCTGTGCACGCGTGAAGGCATGGAGTTGTCGAACGATGCATCATGATTCTCAAGTGGCAGCGGAGGTTTCCAGGCGATGTTCGTTTCTGCTTTGTCGCGTAAAAAGCCTTTGTTGTCTCCCACTTGGTGTTCGGCTTCAGGACTCGGTCGTTCTCTCGCGTTTGTTTCCTGGATTTGACCCCTTTGTTCTGCTCCTTGCATCACTGTGAAATGAAAAACAGCTCATGTTTACAAGGTTGGGTCAATGCAGGCATGTTCGTTTGCATTTGCAACCTCCGGTGTACAAATCGACTTTTCTGAGAAGAACAACATGTTAGTTTGGAGGAAGTGCATCGTTTGCGCTACCACATTGTTATTGGAGATGATTCCAATACACAATTGGGAATTGGAACGAGGGGTGTTTCGTTGCAAGATGTACTGTAGCAGGATTTGCAGGCTCATTCGATTTGCGGCCAATGATGATGAGCATCACAACGGTGAAGAAGGCACTTGGACTACGCTTGAAAGCAGCATTGTTGGTCGTCCAAGAATAGATTTCATTCTTTGCAGTCTTTGTTCTCATGTCGTTTCTGCACATGCTTCTTCATTCTTGGGCATGGGTTCGGATCATTCGGGCAGTCACAACTTGCTTCAACTTGGAGCAGCTGAAGGCACGGAACCGAAAACACTTCTAAACAAAACGGCGTAGACAATTTTTGGAGGATAACTGCAGTTCATCTCCAACAAGTGGCTTGCAAAAGCTAGACTGGTTTTCTGTAATGCCGAGGATTGTCCATCAAGAGATGAATAATTTCCTCAAGGGGTGGGTATACGATTATGCATGTTTGAGTTTTAGAATCATGATCCAGCCCCTCAATATATCCCGGAATAATTAGGTCCACTATAAAACCTGCATGCATGCACTGTCCATGTCTTGGCACCACCACAACCGCACATGAGATTCGTAAAAACCGCGTTTGGCTTAAGACTGCTTTTGCCGTTTTGGTGCAGGAGGGAAGGGGTATTGGTGCACGGCTGGCGCACGGCAAGAGAAAATAGGGGCAAAGCTGGGTCTGAAACGATCCATGCATCCAGGCGCGATCCAATCGGGATCAGGCCAAATCCAGTCAGGATCCAGTCGGCACCAATTTTGCATTTGGCACCACTTTTGGCCAGTCGTCGGGATCCAGTCGGGATCCATTCGGGCATCAATTTTGCAGTTTTTTTGGCACCACTTTTTGACTTGTCGGGAAAGCAGCTGAAAAAACACCCGCAAACGTGGCAAAATGTTAGAAACATGTTGCTTTTTTTTGAATTTGGTTGCCTCCCGACAAGTGCCGGACAATGCAAAATTGATGCCCGACTGGATCCCGACTGGATCCCGACTGGATCTACTTTTGGTGCGAAAAAATGCAAAAAACTGGTGTACAACTGCGTCCCGACGTCCAAACAGCACAAACATAGCAGGATTCAACCAATCGGACACGCTTTTCCCGGAAAATCCACTGCCTTCATCAAAAGGCAGATCGAACAACTACAAAACGTGTATGCACGCACTATCCATGTCTTGGCAAAACAATATGTGGCCTAAGACTCGTTGGGACGGTCTTTGCATTGCAGATGAATTTGCACATGGACAATCATGTGGCATTGGTGGTTTCGTGGCTTTTTCCACCAATCCTTGCGTTTGTATTCTTCAGACTTCGCTCAACTTAAGATCCCGATGCAGGATGATCTTCAAAAAGATATTTCAAGTTTTGAAACTCTTGCGCAGATTGCCTTGGTGTTCGTTGTGATCAGACACCTCCCAAGTTGTCGAATGACACTCCGAATTTCTACTCTTTCCGAGAATACGGCAGCTGAATCACAAACTCTTCAGCGCTCAAATGCTACTGGCATTGTTTTTGGAAAGACTTTCAATCCTGATTTCATCTTCAACGGTCGAAGTTGATGTGAGCCACATTGCAGGCAAATCCAGCGACGTCGCTGATGCTCTCAGTCAATGGGATCATAAAGGCGATCCACCGTGCAATTGTTTGCTTGCAGACCGTTTTCCACTTACTTCGCAAGCCTTGTGGGCACCTTCACCATCAGCGCAACTTTGTCCAGCCATGTCCAGCCGATGCATGGATCCCCTGTTCCATTCCGTAGATTCCGTTGTGACCCTTGAGTGCATTTGCTGGGTAAGTCCACTTGATATTGGGGGTGGTTTGGCGTACTTATCCCCCTTTCCTATTTCATCTGATCAATAGTTATTGAAGGGGGCGTGGCATTCCATTGATCAGATTGAAAACCAATTTGATCGAACTTGGGTCAATTAATCCAACAATGCAAAAAAGGAACAAAATCGGAACACGTTGATATATGGTAGGGTGGTTTGACTTGCGTACTTATGGTACCCCCGATTTGGAAGAAACGGCCTTCAGTGTGATAGTAATCATGGGGGGCGGGCATTCCAGATCAGGAAAACCTTTGATCGAACTTGGGTCAATTAATCCAACAATGCAAAAAAGGAACAAAATGTATAAAGTGCGGAACTTAAATGTGAGAGGGTTGAAGTTGTGATGAAAAGTTTTGTAAAATGTTTATGCGTTTGTTTAAGAACGTTTGTAGATATGTATGTAGGTACATTGCTTGGTTCGTTCTATAATATCGACTTGTATGTGAGGTTGTGCTTATGTAATGAATGTCCACCTTGAACAGCACATGGTACTGGAATTGCCGTTTCATGGATGTTCGATTCGTGGAAGAAACGGCCTTCAGTGTGACTAATCATGGCCTGACTGCTGGGTCATTCCAGCGGGAACTCTCTGGCGTAGTGCCTGGAGAAGGACAAACAAGTTCTCATCCATATCCAGGTCCTGAACAGGTTCTTGCTAGTCGAGGTGGTTGAAGTTGAAGTCTTCAAGTTTGTCTCTGCCTCGTGGAAACTTTGTTTAAACGCAATGTTTTCAGTCAGCCGATTTCCCAGATGCTGTCGCTGCGCGCGCGGGACACCCAGCTGCAAGATGCAGCCAAGGTAAACACTTTGCATGATCGCCATGTGACGGACCCACTTGAATCTCCAAGCGCCTTTTTTTAAATCGACGCAGTCTCTTGTGGGCGGCTCCGCAGCGCGTGTCGCTGAGCCCCGCAAGCGGCCCCAGGTCGCTTGACAGCTGCCGCAATCAAGCTCCACTAGCTTCTGCAAGCGATGCCGCTTCTGTACGTAGAAACACTTCAGCCAGCAGGTGGCTGAGCTCTTGATGGAAGTCTGTACCAAAGAGTGGTGCGACAGATATTGCTCAGTATATGATGCAAAATACCTAAAAAGACACTTGACCCTGTGAAAGGCACTGTGCCTCCCAGAGGCGCCAATTCAGGAAGTTGATCGAGCCGTCCAGGCACTGGCCACCATGGCTGAGGCGGAGGCCACCAGGTCTGTGAAATACTCGGCGCGCATTTTTTCTTGATCACTATGATCAAAGTCACGGGCCCTCAGATTTTGACCGGGGGCAGGTCGTGGGTCCAATGTCCAGGTCACCGTTCGACTCTTTGAGCTGGATGTGTAGCGCAACCCAATCAGGAACCTCCACGGCCCTTTTTCTGCCAGATCCCGTATGGATACGTTGATAGAACTTGAAAGCGCAAAGCTTGATGGAGCGGTGGTCATCGCATGGGGCGTCTCCGTCAGCATTGGGAGGCAGGGGCCTTCTAGACGATGTAGCCCACGCATTGTTGGTTGATATCATTGTCCCCATCATCCGATTCCGGAACAAACCTGCTGAACTCCTGGATGGGCTTGGCGGCTTTGGCTTCCTCGAGGCTGGTACCTTGGTGCTGCCTCCAACCGTTGATGGCAAACGCTTGCTGAAGTTCATGATTACCAGTCGTGGATTTTGCACATTGTCCCAAAAGAAGCCAAACTGCACAACTATGAGTGCCTGGCGAAGATAAATACCAAGGAACACATGGCAGCCAGAGTCCAACAACAAGCTCAGAGCCCACTTTAAAAGGCACATTGGTTGGAAACATGGCACGTAATAACATGGCGGCAAGACGGCAGGCATGCTGATCCAACCTGACAGCTCACAGTTTATACGTCACATAAAGCATGGCAGCCGTATGGCAATGGCAAGCATGCCGGTCCAACCCGACGGCCTACTGCTTGAAACATGCCACGCAAACATGGCGGCACCATGGCAAACATGCCAATCAACTTGACAACTCAAAGTGTGAAACATGCCGTGTTGCCATTTACCATGGCGGAGCTGCAGCAAACACGCCGGTCCAACCTGACGGCCCGCAGTTTGAAACATGCCACATCTAGCAGCCCCCTGTTTGAACCATGTCACGCGAACATGGCGGCAAATAGGGCTTTCCAGCCGATCCAACCTGACATGACAGCTCATTTCGAAACATGCCCAGCAAAAAATGGCGACCTGAGAAGGTTTCATCCAGCACCTGGTGCTCCAGGATGCTCAGAATGGAAAAGGAAAAGGAAATCGAGGCCAACCGCTCCCAATTGGCTGCAATCACCGGAGCAGGAAGTCTTTTGTCCTCTGCCCTGGGCCCTGCTGATGAATTCGAAGGACTCCACCAACGCTGCATCCCAGGATGATCAGTGACTGCAGATTTCGCTGCAAGCATAGGGGAGTCAGCCGACATGACTGGATCGCTGAAAGCAAAAAGGGGCACTTTTCAATCACAGGATCTCTGAAGACAAAGGAGGGACTTGGGCCAAATGTCAGAGCCAAAATGTCCGGTGGACATTTTGGTTTAAGAGTCGACACAGGCGAATTGCAACCGTAAGCTCAATGCAAGAAACATTTCTGCATGAGGGATGCCTTGAGGGTATACCCCTGTCTCATAATACAAGGCGGTGGCGGAAGTTTCAAAAATATGAAACCTATAGGAGAGATTGGCTGTTGTGAATCAGGGATGGCAGAGCGAATCCACTGATGGACCAAAAGGTGCTTGAGGTCTCTTCTCTTTCTCTCTCTTTCTCTGAGTATCTACTTACCTACCAGCCTATCTTCTATGTATCTATCTATCTATCGATCTATCTATCTCTCTCTTTCTCTCTTTCATCTCATTACCTATCTACCTATCTACCTATCTACCTATCTACCTATCTACCTATCTATCTATCTACCTATCTACCTATCTACCTATGTACCTATCTATCTATCTATCCATCCATCCATCCATCTATCTATCTATCTATCTATCTCTCTCTCTCTCTTTCATCTGTCTACCTGTCTAGCTGTCTACCTGTCTGTCTATCTATCTGTATATCTGTCTACCTGTCTATCTGTGGTGCAGCGTCATTCAGTGTAATGTAGTGTAGTGTAATGTAGTGTAGTGTAGTGGAGTCTAGTAGAATGTAGTGTAGTGTAGTGTAATGTAGTGTAGTGTAGTGTAATTTCGTGTAGTGGAGTGTATTGTAGTGGAGTGTAGTTGTGTAGTTGTGTAGTTGTAGTTGTAGTTGTAGTGTAGTGGAGTGTAGTGTAGCGTAATGTAGTGAAGTGTAGTGGAAGGTCGTGTAGTGTAATGTAGTGTAGTGTAGTGGGGTGTAGTGTAGTGTAATGTAGTGTAGTGTAGTGTAATGTAGTGTAGTGGAGTGTAGTGGAGTGTAGTTGTGTAGTCGTAGTTGTAGTTGTAGTGTAGTGGAGTGTAGTGTAATGTAGTGAAGTGTAGTGGAAGGTAGTGCAGTGTAGTGTAATGTAGTGTAGTGTAGTGGAGTGTAGTGTAGTGTAATCTAGTGTAGTGTAGTGTAATTTAGTGTAGTGGAGTGTAGTGGAGTTGCAGTTGTGTAGTTGTAGTTGTAGTGTTGTGTAATGTAGTGTAGTGGAGCGTAGTGTAGTGAAGTGTTGTATAGTGTAATGTAGTGTAGTGTAAGCGAAGCGACATCTGAACCTCCAAAAGTGGTCCGAACCCCTGGTGTTTTTAACATTTTGACTTCGAAATGTGCTTCGCGCCACGACGGCGTGCACTTTTTCGACATCTGAACTTCCAAAAGTGGTCCGACAATGTTTTTAACATTTTGACTTCGAAATGTGCTTCGCGCCACAACGGCGTGCACTTTTTCGACATCGCAACTTCCAAAAGTGGTCCGAGAATGGTGTGTTTTGTACATTTTGACTTGGAAATGTGCTTCGCGCCACAACGGCGTGCACTTTTTCGACATCGCAACTTCCAACAGTGGTCCGAGCATGTGGTGTTTTGTACATTTTGACTTCGAAATGTGCTTCGCGCCACAACGGCGTGCACTTTTTCAACATCTCAACTTCCAAAAGTGGTCCGAGAATGGTGTGTTTTGTACATTTTGACTTCGAAATGTGCTTCGCGCCACAACTGCGTGCACTTTTTTGACATCTCAACTTCCAAAAGTGGTCCGACAATGGTGTGTTTGTACATTTTGACTTCGAAACGTGCTTCGCGCCACAACGGCATGCACTTTTCCAACATCTCAACTTCCAAAAGTGGTCCGAGAATGGTGTGTTTTGTACATTTTGACTTTGAAATGTGCTTCGGGCCACAACGGCGTGCACTTTTTCGACATCGCAACTTCCAAAAGTGGTCCGAGAATGGTGTGTTTTGTACATTTTCACTTGGAAATGTGCTTCGCGCCACAACGGCGTGCACTTTTTCATCTCTCCTCTGGCCAGCTGGCTCTGCACCCACCGCTTTAGCGAGCCTACTTTTCGACCATCCGGAGCCACAAATCGTTGGAAAAACACAGTGTTTCGCGACTTTCCTACCTTTTCGCGCATCTGTATCTTCTGTCTTCTTACTCTTTCTCTTCTACTCTTCTTTCTTCTAATCTTTCTCTTCTCTATGCCTCTTCCCTGCTCTGCTTTTCATCTCTCCATATTGTCGGAAGTTTGACTTCTAAACTTCCTTCGATTATTCTGGCATTACTTGATTTAAAAAAAACATATTCCAAGAGCTCAATGAGAATATATGGGATTTTGGAATAATATTTGACAAAATGATGCCCCTATAGTATTTTCTAGCAAGACTAAGCAATCGTAAGCAGCAGTGGGCAAACGGCCAAAAAAGGTCTCCGTCCTTGCAGAGTTGGGGCTCAAATTTAAACATAATCAGATAGAACCAGGAAGCGTCAGCATAATCGTTTCTGGGCTAGTTTGGTGGTTGTGGCTCTCCCAAGTGGGAGGGAAAATGTTTGGTTTTCACTGGTTTCTGCGTTTTTTTTACAAATTTCTGGGCTAGTTTTGTGATTGTAGCAGCTGCCCACTTTCGTTTTTGAAGCCTGCCAGCCATCTCCAGTAGCCCTAGATTAACTTTACCCCTAGAAAGCCCACAAAATGGCACTCAACCTTGCCCTCTCCTGGAAGTTGTCCGAACCTTGCGTACTTCCCCCTATTTCTTCCATATTCCCTTCACTGCAATCCAAAGAATTCTCTTTGGCCATAGTGGGAATGAGTGGGAAAGGGACATGTTTGCTTTTCATTGGTTCCTGATAATTCTTGCCAGTTTCTGGGCTAGTTTGGTGATTGTGGCGGCTGCCCCCTTTGGTTTTTGAGGGGGGCCAGGCATCTCCAATGCCCCTAGAATAATTGTTCCCCTCGGGGAAGCCCACAAAATGGCAAGCAATTGCCCAAACTGCATGATGCCTCAAACAGCTGCAATTGGCAGTTCCTGAAAAAGGCTTTCAAGCAAACACCGCCAAGCTAGGAATGGCTTTTGGAAGGGCCAGGTCAGGTATAGGAACGTTTAGGCTGCTTCGAGATGTTCTAAGATGTTTTAAGTTGATATAAAATTGTTCCAATTTGATCTGCCTTTTGATGAAGGCAGTGGCCTTTTCAGGGAAGAGCATGTCTGATTGATTAAATGCTGCTTTGTCTGCGCTTTTTTGACTGTCCATCTGGTTTTGAGGTAGGTCGAGCTGCCTTTATTCGCTGTCAGTAGCAGCTCACACAGTCTCATGCCCAGTTCGGGTTTTGCCATTGCATGAACAGTGCATGCATACAGGTATGATAGTAGTTTTGATCTGCCTTTTTGATGATGGCGCTGGAAGTTCATGGAAGAGCATGTCTGATTGACTACAGTAAATGCTGCTTTGTCTGTGCTGTTTTGAGTGTCTATCTGGTTTTGAGAAGGGTCGAGCCGCTTTTGTCTGTATTTCAGTGATGCCTCCATAGCTCGCACAACGTAATCTAATGCCCTCCTAATGAGGTTTTGCCAAGACCTGGACGGTGCATGCACACAGGTTTTACGATGGTTTGATCTGCTTTTTGATGAAGGCAGTGGCACTCCAGGGAAAAGCGTGTCCGATTGGTTCAATGCTGCGGTGTCTTTGCTGTTTGGACTGTTCATCTGGTTTTCTGAAGTAGGTCGGGCTGTCTCTGTTCGTGCTTCATTGATGCTGTCCATAGCTCGCGCAACGTAAGCCAATGCAGAGTTGTGGTTTTGCCAAGACATGGACAGTGCATGCAAACAGGTTTTAAAGTGGTTTGATCGGCCTTCTCATGAAGGCAGTTCCATTCCAGGGAAAAGTGTGTCCGATTGATGAAATCCTGCGATGTTTGTGCTGTTTGGATTGCCCATCTGGTAATCTGAGGTAGGGCTGGCTGCCTTTGTTGGTACTTCAGTGTTGCTGTCCATAGCTCACGTAGCGTAAATGCAGAGTTGAGGTTAGTGCATGCATACAGGTTTTATAGTGGTTTGATCTGCCTTCTGATGAAGGCAGTGGCATTCGAGGGAAAAGTGTGTCCGATTGATGAAATCCTGCGATGTTTGTGCTGTTTGGATTGCCCATGTGGTAATCTGAGGTAGGGCTGGCTGCCTTTGTTGGTACTTCATTGTTGCCGTCCATAGCTCACGCAACGCAATCTGATGCAGAGTTGTGGTTTCGCCAAGACATGGACAATGATGCATACAGGTTTTATAGTGGTTTGATCTGCCTTCTGATGAGGGCAGTGGCATTTCAGGCAAGATCATGTCCGATTGGCTATATCCTGCCATGTCTGTGCTGGTTCGATTGCCGATCTGGTTATCTGCGGGGGGGGGCGGGCTGTCTTTGTTCGTACTTCATTGATGCTGTCTACATTTTTTGATGAAAGCAGTGGCATTCCAGGGCAAATGGTGCCCGATTGATGAAATCCTGCTATGTTTGTGCTGTTTGGATTTTCCATCTGGCTTTCTGAGGTTGTTCGGGCCGTCATTGATCGTACTTCATTGATGCTGTCCATAGCTCACGTAACGTAATGTAATCTAATGCACAGTTCTGATTCTTCCACGACATGGACAGTGCATGCATGCATGCAGGTTTTATAGCGGTTTGATCTGCCTTCTGATGAAGGCAGTGGCATTTCAGGGAAAAGCCTGTCCAATTGGTTGAATGCTGCTATTTCTGTGCTGTTTGGATTGCCCATCTGGTTACCTGATGTAGGGCTGGCATTTCATTGTTGCTGTCCGTAGCTCACGCATAGTGGTATGATCTGCCTTCTGATGAAGGCAGTGGCATTTCAGGGAAAAGCGTGTCCGATTCGTTGAATGTATGCCTGTGCTATTTAGATTGTTCATCTGGTTATCTGAGGTAGGTCGGGCTGCAGTTGTTGGTACTTCATTGTTGCTGTCCATAGCTCACGTAACGTAATCTAATGCGGAGTTGTGGTTTTGCCACGACATGGACAATGCATACATACAGTTTTATATAGTGGTTTGATCTGCCTTCTGATGAAGGCAGTGGCATTCCAGGGAAAAATTTGTCCGATTGATGAAATCCTGCGATGTTTGTGCTGTTTGGATTGCCCATGTGGTAATCTGAGGTAGGGCTGGCTGCCTTTGTTGGTACTTCATTGTTGCTGTCCATAGCTCACGTAGCGTTTATTGCAGAGTTTCGTTTTTGCCAAGACATGGACAGCGCATGCATACAGGTTTTATAGTGGTTTGATCTGCCTTCTGATGAAGGCAGTGGCATTCGAGGGAAAAGTGTGTCCGATTGATGAAATCCTGCGATGTTTGTGCTGTTTGGATTGCCCATCTGGTAATCTGAGGTAGGGCTGGCTGCCTTTGTTGGTACTTCATTGTTGCTGTCCATAGCTCACGTAACGTACATGCAGAGTTGTGGTTTTGCCAAGACATGGACAGTGCATGCATACAGGTTTTATAGTGGTTTGATCTGCCTTCTGATGAAGGCAGTGGCATTCGAGGGAAAAGTGTGTCCGATTGATGAAATCCTGCGATGTTTGTGCTGTTTGGATTGCCCATCTGGTAATCTGAGGTAGGGCTGGCTGCCTTTGTTGGTACTTCATTGTTGCTGTCCATAGCTCACGTAACGTAAATGCAGAGTTGTGGTTTTGCCAAGACATGGACAGTGCATGCATACAGGTTTTATAGTGGTTTGATCTGCCTTCTGATGAAGGCAGTGGCATTCCAGGGAAAAGTGTGTCCAATTGATGAAATCCTGCTATGTTTGTGATTGCCTAATGGTTATCTGAGGAAAGGCTGGCTGCCTTTGTTGGTACTTCATTGTTGCTGTCCAAAGCCCACGTAACGTAATCCAATGCAGAGTTGTGGTTTTGCCAAGACATGGACAGCGCATGCATACAGGTTTTATAGTGGTTTGATCTGCCTTCTGACGAAGCCAGTGGCATTCGAGGGAAAAGTGTGTCCGATTGATGAAATCCTGCGATGTTTGTGCTGTTTGGATTGCCCATGTGGTAATCTGAGGTAGGGCTGGCTGCCTTTGTTGGTACTTCATTGTTGCCGTCCATAGCTCACGTAGCGTAAATGCAGAGTTGTGGTTTTGCCAAGACATGGACAGCGCATGCATACAGGTTTTATAGTGGTTTGATCTGCCTTCTGATGAAGGCAGTGGCATTCGAGGGAAAAGTGTGTCCGATTGATGAAATCCTGCGATGTTTGTGCTGTTTGGATTGCCCATGTGGTAATCTGAGGTAGGGCTGGCTGCCTTTGTTGGTACTTCATTGTTGCCGTCCATAGCTCACGTAGCGTAAATGCAGAGTTGTGGTTTTGCCAAGACATGGACAGCGCATGCATACAGGTTTTATAGTGGTTTGATCTGCCTTCTGATGAGGGCAGTGGCATTCGAGGGAAAAATTGTCCGATTGATGAAATCCTGCGATGTTTGTGCTGTTTGGATTGCCCATGTGGTAATCTGAGGTAGGGCTGGCTGCCTTTGTTGGTACTTCATTGTTGCTGTCCATAGCTCACGTAGCGTTTATTGCAGAGTTGTGGTTTTGCCAAGACATGGACAGTGCATGCATACAGGTTTTATAGTGGTTTGATCTGCCTTCTGATGAAGGCAGTGGCATTCGAGGGAAAAGTGTGTCCGATTGATGAAATCCTGCGATGTTTGTGCTGTTTGGATTGCCCATCTGGTAATCTGAGGTAGGGCAACCTGCCTTTGTTGGTACTTCATTGTTGCTGTCCATAGCTCACGTAACGTAAATGCAGAGTTGTGGTTTTGCCAAGACATGGACAGTGCATGCATACAGGTTTTATAGTGGTTTGATCTGCCTTCTGATGAAGGCAGTGGCATTCGAGGGAAAAGTGTGTCCGATTGATGAAATCCTGCGATGTTTGTGCTGTTTGGATTGCCCATGTGGTAATCTGAGGTAGGGCTGGCTGCCTTTGTTGGTACTTCATTGTTGCTGTCCATAGCTCACGTAACGTAAATGCAGAGTTGTGGTTTTGCCAAGACATGGACAGTGCATGCATACAGGTTTTATAGTGGTTTGATCTGCCTTCTGATGAAGGCAGTGGCATTCGAGGGAAAAGTGTGTCCGATTGATGAAATCCTGCGATGTTTCTGTAGCTGTTTTGGTACTTCATTGTTGCTGTCCATAGCTCACGTAACGTAATCTGAGTTGTAGACATGGACTGCAGCTGCCTTCTGATTGGCATAGGGAAAAATTTGTCCGATTGATGAAATCCTGCGATGTTTGTGCTGTTTGGATTGCCCATGTGGTAATCTGAGGTAGGGCTGGCTGCCTTTGTTGGTACTTCATTGTTGCTCCATAGCTCACGTAGCGTAAATGCAGAGTTGTGGTTTTGCCAAGACATGGACAGTGCATGCATACAGGTTTTATAGTGGTTTGATCTGCCTTCTGATGAAGGCAGTGGCATTCGAGGGAAAAGTGTGTCCGATTGATGAAATCCTGCGATGTTTGTGCTGTTTGGATTGCCCATCTGGTAATCTGAGGTAGGGCAACCTGCCTTTGTTGGTACTTCATTGTTGCTGTCCATAGCTCACGTAACGTAAATGCAGAGTTGTGGTTTTGCCAAGACATGGACAGCGCATGCATACAGGTTTTATAGTGGTTTGAACTGCCTTCTGATGAGGGCAGTGGCATTCGAGGGAAAAATTTGTCCGATTGATGAAATCCTGCGATGTTTGTGCTGTTTGGATTGCCCATGTGGTAATCTGAGGTAGGGCTGGCTGCCTTTGTTGGTACTTCATTGTTGCCGTCCATAGCTCACGTAGCGTAAATGCAGAGTTGTGGTTTGCCAAGACATGGACAGCGCATGCATACAGGTTTTATAGTGGTTTGATCTGCCTTCTGATGAAGGCAGTGGCATTCGAGGGAAAAGTGTGTCCGATTGATGAAATCCTGCGATGTTTGTGCTGTTTGGATTGCCCATGTGGTAATCTGAGGTAGGGCTGGCTGCCTTTGTTGGTACTTCATTGTTGCCGTCCATAGCTCACGTAGCGTAAATGCAGAGTTGTGGTTTTGCCAAGACATGGACAGCGCATGCATACAGGTTTTATAGTGGTTTGATCTGCCTTCTGATGAAGGCAGTGGCATTCGAGGGAAAAATTGTCCGATTGATGAAATCCTGCTGTTTGTGCTGTTTGTTTGGGTAATCTGAGGTAGGGCTGGCTGCCTTTGTTGGTACTTCATTGTTGCCGTCCATAGCTCACGTAGCGTAAATGCAGAGTTGTGGTTTTGCCAAGACATGGACAGCGCATGCATACAGGTTTTATAGTGGTTTGATCTGCCTTCGATGAAGGCAGTGGCATTCGAGGGAAAAGTGTCCGATTGATGAAATCCTGCGATGTTTGTGCTGTTTGGATTGCCCATGTGGTAATCTGAGGTAGGGCTGGCTGCCTTTGTTGGTACTTCATTGTTGCTGTCCATAGCTCACGTAACGTAATGCAGAGTTGTGGTTTTGCCAAGACATGGACAGCGCATGCATACAGGTTTTATAGTGGTTTGATCTGCCTTCTGATGAAGGCAGTGGCATTCGAGGGAAAAGTGTGTCCGATTGATGAAATCCTGCGATGTTTGTGCTGTTTGGATTGCCCATCTGGTAATCTGAGGTAGGGCAACCTGCCTTTGTTGGTACTTCATTGTTGCTGTCCATAGCTCACGTAACGTAAATGCAGAGTTGTGGTTTTGCCAAGACATGGACAGCGCATGCATACAGGTTTTATAGTGGTTTGAACTGCCTTCTGATGAGGGCAGTGGCATTCGAGGGAAAAATTTGTCCGATTGATGAAATCCTGCGATGTTTGTGCTGTTTGGATTGCCCATGTGGTAATCTGAGGTAGGGCTGGCTGCCTTTGTTGGTACTTCATTGTTGCCGTCCATAGCTCACGTAGCGTAAATGCAGAGTTGTGGTTTGCCAAGACATGGACAGCGCATGCATACAGGTTTTATAGTGGTTTGATCTGCCTTCTGATGAGGGCAGTGGCATTCGAGGGAAAAATTTGTCCGATTGATGAAATCCTGCGATGTTTGTGCTGTTTGGATTGCCCATGTGGTAATCTGAGGTAGGGCTGGCTGCCTTTGTTGGTACTTCATTGTTGCCGTCCATAGCTCACGTAGCGTAAATGCAGAGTTGTGGTTTTGCCAAGACATGGACAGTGCATGCATACAGGTTTTATAGTGGTTTGATCTGCCTTCTGATGAAGGCAGTGGCATTCGAGGGAAAAAATTGTCCGATTGATGAAATCCTGCGATGTTTGTGCTGTTTGGATTGCCCATGTGGTAATCTGAGGTAGGGCTGGCTGCCTTTGTTGGTACTTCATTGTTGCCGTCCATAGCTCACGTAGCGTAAATGCAGAGTTGTGGTTTTGCCAAGACATGGACAGCGCATGCATACAGGTTTTATAGTGGTTTGATCTGCCTTCTGATGAAGGCAGTGGCATTCGAGGGAAAAGTGTGTCCGATTGATGAAATCCTGCGATGTTTGTGCTGTTTGGATTGGCCATCTGGTAATCTGAGGTAGGGCTGGCTGCCTTTGCTGGTACTTCATTGTTGCTGTCCATAGCTCACGTAACGTAATCTAATGCAGAGTTGTGGTTTAGCCAAGACATGGACAATCTACGCATACAGGTTTTATATTTTATATGGTTGTTTTCTTTTTGTTGTCTCACGTGACAATATGGACAGATGAAAAGCAGAGCAGGGAAGAGGCAGAGAGAAGAGAAAGATTAGAAAAAAGAAGAGTAGAAGAGAAAGAGTAAGAAGAAAGAAGATGCAGATGCGCGAAAAGGTAGGAAAGTCGCGAAACACTGTGTTTTTCCAATGATTTGGGGCTCCGGAGGGTCGAGAAGTAGGCTCGCTAAAGCGGCGGGTGCGGAGCTAGCTGGCCAGAGGAGAGATGAAAAATTGCACGCCGTTGTGGCGCGAAGCACATTTGCAAGTCAAAATGTAGAAAACGCACCATTGTCGGACCACTTTTGGAAGTTGCGATGTCGAAAAAGTGCACGCCGTTGTGGCGCGAAGCACACTTCGAAGTCAAAATGTACAAAGCACCTAGCTCACATAACGTAATCTAATGCAGAGTTGTGGTTTAGCCAAGACATGGACAATCTACGCATACAGGTTTTATATTTTATATGATTGTTTTCTTTTTGTTGTTCCATGTGACAGGTATGGGCCTCCAAGAATCGAAGTAGCTAGTCGTGTTGAGCACACATGCATCGTGTCTAGTGATTTTTAGTTTCGAAACCATTCCCATTGGAATTCTTGATTTTTGACAGCAAGCCTCCAACACTGGTTGTTTTACCCAAAATGACAGCTAGTTTCAGCTACCTGAAATTGTTTCTGCTTTAGCGCGGTCGATTGCGGGCAGAAACCGCTGATTGCGTGATAGATTCAGGTTTCTTATACCCGCCCCCTCCATTCGGTTGTGAGGATGATTTCGACAAGATGTAGATGACGCAAGTTGCGTAAGTCCGAAAATAGTCCATCAAGACGTTATTCACGTCGCTTCGCGACGGCAACCGCCCGCACCGCATCGTTGGGCAGCCGCTCGTAACTGCCAATGATGTCGGCCATTGAGACCAAAAACATCCGAAAGTACTGATTGTCGGAAAAAAAAAGAATTTGATAGCCATGTATAGCGGACCAACGCAGTTCAAAAAATAACGAAAAACATGAAAAAAACGGCGAAATTGCTGTTATTTACAGCGTTTTTGCGCGGTGAGAAGCAGAAACCACTGCAAATACCATGTTTTTTGAGGGTCAGGTGGCCAAAAACACTGTAATTTACAGTGTTTTTTTAACCAACGTCAAAAAACACTGGTATTTACGATGTTTTCATTCACACCGTAACATAAAACAGCGTAATTTACGAAGTTTTTGGAAGTTTTGAAGCTAGCCGTCAAGCATGCAGAAAACAGAAAAACACTGTAAAAACCAGTGTTTCTGCTATCACAAAACGACGAAAATCAGTCCGAAAACGGGTCCAAAAACTCAAAAATCCGCCTCCGGGCCCGGCCATCTGCGGAACCGCAAAAAAAGATGTTGCAAACCAAAAAATTGAGGTCAAAAAGTTGAAAAACACGGTTTTTTTCACTTTTCGCTTGCCGATTTTGGACGGGCGCGTTCACGAACAGGTGTCTTTCGTACTGTTTTTTACAGTGTTTTTTGAAGGCGAGCGTCACGACCTATCAAAAACAGGAGGTTTTGGCCGAAAAATGGGACCCCCCCCCCAGGTAAACCTGTAACCTTTTACGAGTGCCATCCGGAAGATCACGCCCCAGCACCTTCGGTGCGGGCGGATTTTGTGAAGATTTTTCGTGCGTGATATCCAACCGCACATCTTCAAAGGGAAACATATTGTGGTTTTCAAGATAGTCTTGAACAGTTGGCCAGGAAGTTTGCCAATGTGTTTTTGTTTCGTCGGAGATTTATTTGCAACCATTCAGGGCTTAATGCTGTTTATATTGAACCACGTTGGCGGCCTAGTACTGTTGATTCTGAACAGCTGCGAGAAACATTGACCCAAGGTGGTTTTGAAGCAGGATCACCATTTTGTTTTTGAATTAAGTGATTTTATTTTGGGACCGCCTCGGCTCTTCTCAGTATGAAGAGCTTCACAAAAGGTTTGCTGAACGCAATTGATGATATGTATTGATGTGTGTTTTGACATGTTTTGTGTATGCAAGACACTACGGAACTGTGTCACGAAACCGCAAACTTGTGTTTGGGAGCAGATGGCTAGTCTGGGAAAATCATTCGACTCGAGGAATGACTTTCATGACTGTTCGGGGTGCATCTCGAAGTCCACACCAAAATCAGTGTTCTTAGTTTCATTGCGCGTCGCTACAACTAGTCCAAAGGAAACAATCTGAATATGTAATGTATGATTCATCGTGAATCAACCTAACCAATTCAAAACTTTGTACTGATGGTTGAAATCTTGATGACGGGTGTCTTGCTTCGCTGAAGGCTGTCTGTGGAGTGCGTGACTTCCTTTGAATTTTGCTTGACATCGGTGTGAGGCATCGAACGCTGCGAATACTCTACGATACCTTGGTTTGTTGGTTGCACAGCACGTAAAGGTCATGGATAGGATATTGAACAATACTTTGCATTGGGCCCACGCCAAGAATCTGAGGCCGGCAGCCTTTGGGATAGTTTATGTGTTTGTCATGACTGACTTCACACCAACCACAAATGATAGGCAAAAGGATATTGTTTCCAATAGCAATGTCAATTGCTTGGGTGTGTGTTTGGTAGCAATGAATTGAGCAAGCGGTGACTACTTGTGCCAGGCATAGTGCTTAATTACAAGTCCATTCTGCGGACCCATGATCTCTTGGTCGCTGAACAAGGCTGGAAATGCTGTGATACACACTGCAGCCGGTTCATGTTTTTGACCCATGTGTGACATTGGCATGTTTGAGTCAATACAGTTTCTCCATGTTTCTCCCAACAGTTCAAAAACTGGAATGGGGGAGTGAATGCATCGTCGCAGGCCTGAACTGACTCTCATGAATGACATGCACCTTTCTCAGACTCAGAGATCGCTTGAACTTCATCGTCTTCAAGATCTATGGAATCCTGTTTTCATTGAATTTCTGCCGAGGTGCTCCTTGACCTTGTACATTTTCATTGCAGAATGTCTGTCCTGAATAGACAGGTACCAGATGCATGTAATATTATACATACACACGATGGACTTCCATGGATTTCCTACATGGTCTTCTTTTCCAGCCACCAACCTGAAAGTGTCACTACATCATGCCAAATCCTTCGAAAAGAGCAGTGAGTCATGACAGGTACAGCCTACAGTCATCATCTACTGTCTCATTCGACAGCAGCAAGTGCCTGGTGCCTGAACCCATGCCTTTGACTCAGGCCTACTTCGCCTTTTATATAAATACAGCAATTTGCATCTTCAACACATGCCAGGATGCAAAGTGCATGCCGTCTTTGGCAGTCAGATATGTTCCGAAACTGGAATTACAGTGTGAATCGAACGCACTTGTTTCTATATAATCATGTGCCATGATTGAGAAGGAAACCCTTCCGTGTCTAAGGTAAGCAGCTGCTGGATTGAGGCACAGCTCGGAAAAACACTAAAGTTGGATGAGTTGGTGTTTCTGATTGACACTGCAGATGTTCGAAATACCAGGGCAGGCGGCATGCAAAAGCTGTAACAAATGTAATTTGGGGCAAATTTGCTCCTTTTCATCTGCATCGCCACTAATGTCAAAGAGCTCAGTCGTTGCTGGCCCGAGCAGGCGCTCCACCAGAGATTCACATCCGTCAACACGCTTTCTGACTGGGAACCAAAAGTCGGCAGAAAAAGTGGAACAGCAAAAGCCCTCAGGGATGCACCAATCCTGTCCATCCAGCACTTGAGCTCCTTGTGGACCCTCTATGCTGGGAATTCCTTGCAAATGACGATCTTGAAGAGAAAAATATCATTGCTGTTAAATTTCATTTTGTTGATGAGATTTGCACATTGGGACAGGTCGCGCTCAACAATTTCACACTCCACACATGGGATCTCCATGCCTCATTTTGGAAACATGCATTTGTTCGACGTGTACGGGGTTCGACATGTACGGGCAATAGGTTAGAACTATTGGGAGATCTTTCTCCAAACCTGCCAACTCGTAAGATATCGCAAGATTGAACTATGAAGTGAAACAGAAGAGCGCAAAACAGTCATGATGCATGTGCTGCAGCGGACTCTTCGCGCTTGAAAGCGGATATCACAGCTGCAGCGTTCAACTTTTCAAAACATTTTTTTTCGTCCAGCTGCAAATCACTGCGGCATACACTGACTAGTGACATCTATAAAGACTAATGGTTTGAGGTGGTTGGAAGACACAGCCAAAAAGGGCAAGCCGGCTTTTCGTTTCCCCCTGATCGGGCTGCTTTGCATCGTTTGCTAGAAGCGTCCGATATCAGTGAAGAGTTGCAGCCACTTGCGGCACACAACCTGAGACATCCGAAACATTCGTCACGATGTCGATGGCGCATGAGTGGCGCCCATGCACATGGCGGGTAAATGCCCAGCTGGAAGCATGGATGCTTCTTGGCCGAGTATTTGATATGGTCTGTTCAATGGATGTCAACATCAATCTATTTCTCTTCGTTTTGCCTGCTGTTCTTCTCTGTTTTGAGGCATGTGCAGCCGGCTGTCCAACTTTTATTCCTTTCACAGCTGGCACGGCAGCTTGCTGAGCAGCTGGATTGTGAAAGGGGCTGCTGCCAGCCTCCAGTCTTTGAGGCCAGCGTGCCTCTGTCAGACTCCCAGCACAGAAGCTTCTTGTCCCAGAGAAGTTGAAGTCCTTGTGTTTCACATTTTAATCATGTTCAGAATGCAAGGTGTTCAATGCCTCGACCAATGTTTGAAAAAGCGTGGAACTCAGGAAGTTATGCAATTTTCAGATGATTGGATGTTATATCCTTGTCAAATCAGTGATATAATGATTTTATACGATTTCATTTGTGGCCCTTTGTGGCCCGTTCAATGTGGGCGACATTGCCAATAACAGTAAAACGGATACGACTCCCCGAAATTGCTCGACATTTTGACACCAGCCCCCTGCTGATGTCCACGCCATTGCGTGAGCCTGCTGTGTTGCATGCCTTGTTTGCGGGATCCTTCCCAATCAGGACCTTTTGCCAGTGGCTTCCACAGAGGAGGAGTCCGAGAAGGACAAGAACAGGCATTTGGCTGGTCAAGATCCAAACTGACACTTAGTGGCCATGTCTTTGTGAGAAAAATTAAGTACTGTACCGACTCTCAGTCAAAGGCACATTGCGAAGACATTCTAAGACGATCTGTGACACAATTGTGAATCAAGCAGCCGGCTCATGCAGCGTAACTACTCCATGTCTTCTGAACTCCTTTCCTTCCGTGCTCCACGGAGGCGACTCTCTTTCGGTACGACGACTACGGGGGTGCCCGAAGAGGATGATGTGCTTTCCGAGTTTGATGTGGGGGAGGATATCAATAACGTTGATGATCATCCGGACGGAGACGGTGGCGTTGCACAGGCCATTTGCAGTGAATTCAAGAATCCAGTGTGTCGACTGCTGACTCTTCTCAAACTGTTGCACGTTTGACGAAACTCATGTGGGAGAGGTTAGGTTTGAGGTACAGCTTTGAAAAGCACCAGAGTTGGTGTTTCTGGTCAAGTGGGTGAGCTATCAAGGAGCCAGAGGGTTTGGTTGGACTAGGCGGCGAAGCCGCAGATATCCGGTGAAAGCAGTGATTCGGACGGCGAGTCCGAGGTGCTCAAACGGGGGGGATCCAAAAGAAAGAAGGTGACACCCCGGGTGTAAGCGAGAATTTTTATTTCATGTTGTTTCAGGAAATGGAAGGCCAATTGAAAGATGTTTGGAATTTAGATAGAGGTACTCCCATGCATACTGAATTGAACTTGAAGTCATGTCAGAGAGGTGCACAGTTGCAATCTAAATGCGAAGCTGGACAAGGGATACGGTTTTGGGACTTGGAAATGCGTGCAGCATCACTTGTCGGATCCTTGAGCACCAAGTATAAACATTTCCACTTTGTCCTTTGTTCTCAGAATGTTTTGACAATTCTTGACACCTAAGCACAGGTTGGCGCTAGCTCCCCTGTCTTGTGTGGACTGTGTCTTTGCGGGTGCCTTGGCCAGGTCAAGGAAGCGGAGTCCAGGTGCGGCTCGCAGCTGAGTCTGCTTGATGCATGAAAAAACACGCCTTCGCACCAGGTTTGAAGAGAACTCTTCAAACTCGAATGAGGCCACTCAGTTGGCGCCTTCGTGTTGGTGAGCACATGTGTTTTGGTCGTGGGGGGGTTTAGTCCAATCTCTTTTCCGAATCAAGTCGCTTCACAATCTTGTGTCCTTCCAATGCCCCCTTCCCAGTATATGATGTCAGCAGTCTGAACTTCGGGATCCGTTGCAGCCTTGATATGTGACAGAGGTGGATGGTTCGAATGGTGCTTCATGCACTGGGGCACATCAATCAGATTGCACGTGGAGACTTGGCCACACGTTGTGAGAATGGGTCTCTTTGTGATCGGAGTTTTTTTCCAATGGAATTTTGTTTGAACTTTCTGACAAGATTTCGGCAATTGTTTCTTGCTAAGGGCTTGCGAAGTTGCAACAACCTTGCAAACAAGCGAGGGTTCCGATGCTGTCAATGGAGCCGTTCGGCTGGAAGTTGATGGTTGATTATTCTGGGGGTCCGGACAACCTTTCAACCCAAAGACAAAGAACTGTGGGACCCTTGAAGCTTCTTTTTTGGTGGCATTTGAGTGCATGTGCAGGTGCTAGAAAGCCTCCTTTGACTTTCAGGATTTGAAGCAGTCATGTTGGTGACATGCTTCTGTCTGAAATGGTACATACGGCTTCTGAACGTTGACCAGGTTGTTCAAATCGGTGCAGCTGATGCATGCGCTCCTCAGACTCTCGTCTGCATTTGAAGTGGAGTTCCTTTCACTGCAAGGCATCATACAAATCGAAACATCTTTAGATTGTCTCTGAATTCGTGGGTTTGCTTTGTGTGTGTGTGTGTGCATCAAGACTAGCATGCGATATGAATCCTTGGCGACTGCAGGAGCGAATCCTTAGAGGCCAATTTCCTTCCTGAGCTACTCGGCAGAACAAAAACAGATTGAAACTGATTCCATTCATGGTCAACAGCTTGCTGCGGTGCTGAGGATATGTCTTCACGTGCTGGGTTTTCTTCCTGTGCCTCAACTTATGAAAGGCTACATACGAGATGTGCACAAATAAACGAGTTGTCAGGCAGAAACGGAATTTGATCATTGTTGTTACAGCTGTTATCATTATATCATATCATTATATTATATTCATATCTTTTCCCAGCCTGAAAATCCTGAAATTTGGCAGACCGAGCCGAGGTGCAAGAAGTAATGAAACAGAAAGTTCGGGCAGTGTCCAGCAATTTCGGCTGCCACAAGGCTGGTGGACGAAAGGATCAAGCTTTGCATTCCGATGTCAACTGAGTCAACTCTCAACTTTTAAAGATGGCGCAGGTCTGGCTAACTCACTTGTTCCGCTTGGTGGACATAGATACACTTCAGCCGCTGAGTGATGTACCGTCGCGTGGCTGAATGCAGCAGTTTTGCAGGTTTTTGCTGTGTCAAGGGCTTGCTGTTTGCGATCGCCTTTCATTTTTTAAGCTGGGATATTTTCCAGGGATGTTTGTATGAAGATCACTCTGGGGAAGAGAGCAAATCGCATGTCGTTGCCCGCTCTTCTTTGTGATTGCTTACTTTCTCGTTTCCATTCCTGACCCTTTTCAGCTTTTGTCCTTGTCCTGTTCACCTTTCTAGCGTACCTGCTTCTCTTTTCTTTGCTTTTCTTTGGCTCGTTCTTCTGCTTCACCTACACCCTTTTGCCTCTCCCTTGCCCATTTCAACTGCTCCTGCTATTGCAACCCAACTTGCGATCCTGATGACAGAGTGTGAGCACTCCAGCCAATGCCAGTTGGCTAGGACTTTCACTACCGGTAGTGCGTTGCTTTAGGTGCAATCTGCTACTCAACCCACTCCCAAATCCCACTCCCAAACCCCACTCGTAAACCCGATTCCTCGTCACCACCTCCCACCTCCCCCCCCCCCCCCCCCCCCCCCCCCCCCCCCCCCCCCCCCCCCCCCCCCCCCCCCCCCCCCCCCCCCCCCCCCCCCCCCCCCCCCCCCCCCGCCACAGCCACCGCCACGGCTGCTATTGCTAGCCATTTCGAAGTTTAGAAATAAACATGTGTGTATGCAGCATATTCACTTCTCAGAATCTTGTCCTCTCAGAGGTCAGAACCTTGGTGACATAATGCCTAGGATGGCGCGAGAGTGGCATCCCATTGAAGAGTTCACAGCTTCGATGTCGGTGACGCGCGTTGAAACCAACTCGTCATGGTCTGATGTCAGAGACAGACTGCTGTCAACGCTGCGACTTCGTGGTGATTCTTCAGAGGGCGTCCAAGGTGGGGGAGGTTTCGCAAAAGCAGCTATCAACTTGTGCTGTGATTAGACGACAAAGGCTTCCTGCATGTAGCCGACAAACAAAAGGTTTTTGAGAGGCAGCAAATTAGCCAAGGAATGCCAAGGAGTGTTCCAATGCAGGGATTGGAGTGCATGATACTCTTGTCGTTTACGTACCTTCTTTGCGCCTGTTAGGCTGCTTGCAACTCTGGTTTGGCCCTTCGAAGCGGATTGTCGGAGGCAAGCACCTCGAATATTTCAATTTCATCAACGCGAAGACATTGGCTACTTGCGGGCTTGGAAAGAAGCAGGCGGGTTGCGACACACGCCAAATATGCCCAAACTGTGGACAGGTTCTTGTTGTTTCCCCTAATACACCACCCGAGGTTGAGGGGTTTCAGGGCCACGTCGCGGCAAAACGACTGACTGATTTGTGCTGAGACACACACACACACAGGCCTGCAGATTAAGAGGAGAATGGCAGCCTCCTCGAATTAAGCTTGCCACATGGCCTGGAATTTTATGTGCCCATGACTTCCGCAGTGAAACAACAGAGACTCAAGTTGTCTGTCAATGATGAATGCATCAGAAGCGGGCAAGCATCAGAGACAGGAAAAGGTTGAAAGGTACTGAACGATTGACTGAACGATTGTGAAAGACTATTTATCAAGGGTCCAACAGAATGTGCATGAAACATCCTGAAGAAGGGTTTGTTTCATTTTATTTTGTTTTTCAATTCGCACCAAAAGGACCAGTTGTCAAAGTTGTCACCATGTTTGGTCAACAGGACATGCTACTGTGACGCAACTTGGAGGCCCACTGAGGTGTACATAGACTTCGGTAGACCTGCAAGACGCTGAAAGCGATGATGTCTACTGGACAATGACGGGCGTAACATGAAAGCACTTTCCTGGACGCGTTTTCTGGAATCCTGTAAAGTCTCAAGCTTGCACAACCATTTCAAACAAAGAAGTGCAAATGAGTCATCTGGTTCCAGGACTGCAGATTTGATCGTGGGTCTGCGTTAGAAGTTTCCTTTTTTTTCACACTTAACCATTCAAGTTTCATGCAATCAAACATCAACTTGAAAATTGGCAGTTTCGAATTTGAATGCATGTTCATTCCATTCACATGTTTCGGATGAAGCTGAATTTATTCTCTTGATGGCTCCAAGCCATGTGTGTTCTTGGAATGCATTGGTTTGAAAGCGTTTGCATTTGTTTCTTGAAACAAGCTCGCAGAGTGAAACGACCGAGAACTGCCAAAACCGAAACTTGCAACTCACTGATGCACATATTTGAACTTACTGTAACTGTGCTGCATTCGCACAAACATTCGTGGATACTTGGAAGCAATGGCCTCGGCGAAGGAGCTTTTGGGTTTAGACGATGTTCTGTAATGTTCCTGTCCACATCCTACAGTAGTGGATTTGTCATAGGCCACCTTTTCGATAATCATTGGGTACATTGGCTAGGTTTTTTGGGCATCTTGTCTTGTTGGGTTTGTGAGTTTGTGTGAGTCTTTGGCTTCTGTGGTTTGTACAGCTGTGCGGAGAGCCCTTTGCCAAAGGAGACCTCGACGCCAGGTGCAGGCAGTGCCCTGACCAGAGCTGAGGCGCGTTCAGCAAGAAGTGGTTGTGTACATACGCTTCTGAGGATGCATGTTGTTGATTTTTGATGCACGTTGATGATTGCTGATGCATGTTGATGCACTTCATGCATGTGATGCTTGAAGTTCGCTTTTTGGTTGCTCCCAGCAAATCTTGAGGGACCTTGAAACAGTGGTGTTGCTGTTTTCAGCTGGGGATTTTGACATAGCGTAGCTTTGAAGATTTTGATTTCATGACTGAAAGGTCGCAATTTGATTCAAGATATTTAGGCCTTTAGTGAATGTTTTCACAGGCAAACTTTCCAAGAAGCATTGCCTAAGCTTTGCTGAGGATTTTGCCTAATTTTGTGATGTTTTGCGGTGTTTCTTTTGGCTGCTGTGGTTTGTACAGCTTTCCGGAGAGCACTTTGACAAAGGACACATCGACCAAGAGTGCTCAACAGTGGCTGGATAGTTGTCAGGCGCTGTCAGAAGGCTGTGCTTGTGTACAACCATTCCATTGGTGCATGTTGCTTAATGATCTTAATGCTGATGCTGTTGTCACGTTCGTTCATTTTTTTTTAAGTGCCGTAGCTTGGGGCATGGCATTTCCGCCCAGGAGGAAGACTGTCCGAACTTGCAGGAGTTGGCAAAGCGACCCTTGGCTCCAGCCAGGGGAGAAGTTCTGCGGTGGATTGTGGAACGGACAGAGTGTTTGGTCCCAAATTGTGTGTGACCCGTTCCCTGGGGAATTGAGAATAGTTTTGGCCAGAGGGGAGGGAGGTAAAGGAAAAAAGTGGGAAACTCACAGCTCGGGTATTTTGCAATATTGCTCAGCCTCTATTAGGCCACTTCAAACAAGCACTAAGCTAACATTCAACCAGACCACATCATTCAACCACCTTCAACTTCAAGGCCTGAAGGAGACATATGGCATCGGAGCGAACCCTGCGGACCTTTTAAAGCGGCCGTTTCAACCTTGGACTCCTGAGGCCTGGAGCCGGGTGGGCCCGGGGAGCGCTGGTAGCGGAAAGATCATGGATACCAATGATTCCAATGATACCATTTTTTTGTGTTATGAGTTATGATTCTTATGTGCCCAGGAATGTTCAGGGCAAGATTGTTGGGCGAAAAAGTTCCAGGACACTGGTGAGCAATTGGTTTTGGAATGCTTTGGAGATATAAGTAAATCTTGTAGCCGCACAGGACTGTGACCAGGGCTTTCGGATGTTTTCCAGCTTTAGTGAGGCCTTGCTGGATGTGAACGAGTTCAAGAGCAAGTTGTATCGCCTCGGAGTTTCTAGCGATTTGCTTCAGCCGTGGTTTTGGTCGGTCGTTCTTTGATGTTCTTTGTGCCCTATATACTTGCAGAAGCTGTATGAATAAATTGATCCAGATTCAAGTCGTTGCACGTGCATGAGATGTCGAATATTCTTGGATTGTTCGAGCAAGAGCTGAGATTTGTGATATTTTTGGGTTGTCATTTTGATCAAGATTTGGGGCTGAAAATAATTTGATTTGGGTGGATTTCTTCGATGTTGGTGTTCATTGATGTTGTACTCGAAACAGAATGCTCTCGCCGGTCATAATTTCGGTCACAAGATTCCAGCCCATCGGCTGTCAGCCGAGCAAAAGAACACCCCAAGGCTAATGCGTTTGGGATCCCAATTCCCTACTTTGATGCTATTGTGTGTTGCCACCTGGTAATCGATCTAAAGGTCCTTGTAAGGAGTTTTAATTGCGAAAGCCGTGCATATTAAATATATGTTGGATTGGAAACCCTCGCGAAAGTTTTTTTTGTCCGAGTTCGCGAAAGTAACATTTGTTTCGCGAAAGTTCAGCGAAAGTTGGATATCATGATTGCCTAACATAGGTTCCGCAAAAGATAAACATGGAGTTCCCGAAAGTTTCGCGAAAGTAACACTTTTTATTCGCGAAGAATGGCCGTTCCCGGATAAAGGAATTTCGATCAACCATCATCTATGTTCAGCTTGCAACACCCGTCCAAAATGCATGTGTGTGTGTGCAACTCTCATCATGAGCGCGGGTTTGACGCAGTCGTTGGTGTAGTTTTCTTGATTCCAGCGACGTCAACTTGAGGTTTTTAGTGATCTTTACGGCAGCTTCAACTTTGCATCTTGGATGTGTGTGTGTGTGCGTCCAGTGTTTCATTCCAAAGTCACTAGTTATATATGTATTGTGTAAGAACAGCATTGATGGACTTGAATTCAGCCTGCCAACGCTGGTACAATGCTGGAATAGATCACTACATCTGAGAGTTTCCAGGGAATATGGAATCATTCTCATTTTGGCTGCCTCACCCTGCACGTGCAAGTTTGGCTGAGCTTCATACTGATTCTACAGATTGCCTTACAAGACTGCAGTGTATCATGGTATGATTTGAGAGAATTTGTGACTTCTGGTACTTGGGAGCAGCAACATTAATTGCCCAGGCAGGGCTGTTCAAAGAGATGGCCGGGCACACTGATAGAGCCAGCAACTCCACAGCAGGGGTGGTGTTCAATCACTATCCGACATGGATACCTTTCAAGAATTATAAGAATCAACATGAGAACGGCACACAAAAAGGCTTGGAAGTTGGAAGATGATTGTCCATTGTTTTCGTTGATTTCTGATTGGAACATACCTTCCTTGGGGTCTTGCAGGTGTGCAGTTTTAAAGCAACTCAACTTGACTTAAGGCATGAATCATGAAGAACATGTTGAGTATGGCTGCTGATTTTGGAATGGTACTCTTTCAATGTTCAAGCTGTTTGGATCCTTGATCACAAGTTCTTCAATGTTCTCAAGGTGTTTCCGGAGAGAATGTGGAAACTGTTGGATGGTTGCAGTGAATTTCCCTGACAGCTAGATGCAACATGACGCAACCAAGGTCTTGAAGACGTAATCAACGGCCTCCAGCCCTTCTTCGAGGATGACGTTGCGACTCCGAGTACACCGGAGTTTGGTCGTCCCAACCTCAGTGAAAGAACTGGACTAATCCGACTTATCCTATTGGAGTACTATGGTGATTCGAGACGATTCCTGGGGTGGGGCACCAAGTATTTGAACAATGCAGATTCTGACAAGGTGCTGTATAAACCAATTTTTAAAATACAGGTTCCCCCCTCAATTTCAGCTGCCCTGTTTGCCTTGTTTTGGTGGGCTCTAATTTTATCTCAAACCTCCGGGTCCCAATTTTCTTATTTTTTTTGGGTGCCTAAATTAGTGACCTAGGGCTCCAATTTTTATATGAGGCTCCAACTCTATAGACATATGTCGGTTTTGTGTGGTTTTGTTCAGTTGCCAATTTTATAGTGTATCAATGCATGGTTTCATGAAACAACTTGGTCACCAAAGGGTTCCAATTTTGTAGCTACCTGAAATGTGCTGCATGCCAGGGTCCCAATTTTTTAGCACCTTTGATTTTTTGCTACATCAGAGCGCTCAAGCATGCGCAATGCTGGAGAAGAGAAAACATGAAAAACAAACATAAAAAACATAAAGTTCATCAAACATAAAGCAGTAGAAAAATCATGAAAACATTTTCACCTTTCAACATGGAAAATGTTTTTTCCCCCTGCTGCACACGTTTACAGTACATCGCGTGTTGGGGCATTACTTAAACTGAGATAAAATTGGGGACCGCATCATCGAAGGAAAATAACCCGCCCAAAAAATTCGACTTGGTACACCAAAATTTAATGTAAAAAAACACCTATGATCAAACCATTTTGGATGGCCCCAATTTTATAGAGGTCAATTTGGAGCTAGGACCACCCCCCAAATGAGCTGGGTGTCCCAATATTGTAGTGTTGTTGGGCTTGATGATATTGATGGGTTACTGGCAGGTTGTGATTTTATAGGGCTGATTATGTATGTGTCTGTCAGGCTTTCAATTTTATAGATGGCCCCTGAAGGGCATTTTCAAAGGATACATGGGGTCCCCTATAAAATTGGAACACCCAGTTCAATGGGGTGAATTGGTAAGGGGATATTCATCATAAAATTTTAGATGTGTTTGAAACAATAGTTGAATTTACGCATATACGTTGCGGAATTTCAGTAGTGATATACTTCTGACACACCTATCATGGTACCTTAATGAATCATTTCGGGCCTACAAAAATAGGCGATGCAATTATCCAAATGAAGGTATAACATGGTATAACCAAGAGTAACAATACTAGTTTGTCATATTGGGTCAGTGGTGGGGTGTGATCTGGCTTAAGCTCTCAAAGCAATGACACCAAGTAGCACCAACCCACTGATACCCCACACAGCTCATTTGTTTAAGATATCTACCTACTGACTGTATCTTCCGCTCGAGCTCATCACTGCCATCCAGGTTTGGAGATCGTGCAGGCCCTTGGCCCAGGGAATTCTAGTCACGACTGAAATGGTGGTATCAACACAGATGAAGCAACTAAATCTGAGAAACAGACACATATATTTTAAAGTTTTAAAGTCATTAGATTGATACAGTAGGTAGATATGTTAACCAAATACAGTGGGGTATAACTAGGCAAGTCATAACTAATACTGGTGCTATTCTGGGCCCCTCATATAGGAAGCGCAAGTTTTGGATGGGTTATTGTTTGGCCCTCGTTGCTTGCAGGATGATCCCACCCAAGACATCTTAAGTACTGGTTTCGAATTGGTGCCAAAGCCTAGCTATAAAGGGGAGACGTATCAAGCAGGCCCATGCACTTATTTGCGCGCTGTAGGTTCTGTAGCTTTTCTCGATGGCTTTGCAGGTACGTTAATAGAGCATGCTCAGTGCCAGATGATCGTTTTGCCATGTTTTGCCCGCACTATTATTGCAATGCTTGGCACTTTCAGTTCTCGGCCGCGCGAAAATGCGCAAATTATGATCCCCAGCGATTAACTATCAGACATCATGACGTTTCTTCAAGACATAGCTTTGGACCTCACCCCATTTTCCGGAAAACGTGTGCATTGAATGTTTTAATATCTCCGGCCCACCTCATGTACAAAAGGCTGCAGCTTCCAACAAAAGACCCTGCGATACCCCAATTGACATCAGCTAAAATTTAGGCTTGTCCAGAATCTCAGAATGGGGACCCACAGACCCCTCAAGTTGTGACGGTCAAATAAGTGTTTTCATTTGAATAGGAAAAAGATATGATAAACTGTTAGATTTGGGTCAGACAAAGCCATTGAGGCAGACCAGCAAGCGCTTCCAATGAAAACGCGCGAGGGCACAGAGAAGGAGCGACGGATGCAAGGCTTGCAGGTGAGGCGAAAATGCAGATTTTCCATGATTTTCCCATGATCCAATTCGGGGCTTATGCTGAAGTCAGGTTACCATGTCAAGTTGCCGCCAGCCTTGCTGCCTTGGGCCTGAGGCAACTCAGAAACAATCTAGACGAGCTGCGAGCCACCAGCAGCTCGCTGACACTGGGGCTGCAGCAGGCTTCGATGGGTAGATGATGGGCCCGGGGCCCGCAGAAAGCAATTGAAGCCTTGAGTGGCTCAGATTTCTGGGTATTCTTCTTTCACTTTCACAGACGTTTAAGCAGTGTCTCACAGAAAAAAACAAATGACTCCTCTGATTTCTTTGGTCTTGACACATCTTGGCACATCTTGACACAGCATCTTGACACAGTTTGCACCCCCCTCAAACTCCATCAGTGATCACCATGGCATGGTCAGTCTATCTTGGAAAATCACGCAGGAAATCGTTGGGTTTGCTCATTTGGTTGCTGGTGTCAAACATGTGTTTCAACCCTGTTTGGGATGATGGTCCGCAAATGTCCACGATATCTTTATACATTTTCAGGGGGTCGGTTGAAACCAGCAACCAATCCTATATGGATGTATATGGTTTCCGTCTTCACCGCTGTCCAGAAAGTGCCAGGCCCTGGGTGCAGCAGACAACTTGCAGCAGAAGATCCAGGAGACTGAACAGCTGCAAGAGCAGCACCGAAGGCAACTGGAAGCTGCCGAGCACGAGTTGCCTGATCATGTTTAATGAAAGCAGGTGTAAAATTCAATTTCATTATCCTGTGTGCTTGTTAAAAAAGGCAAGATTTGGCAACGTGGAGCAAGGGGATAGGAAAGAGCAAGGAGAGAGAGAGAGAGAGAGAATGCAACAGCATGCAACAGCATGCAACAGCATGCAACAGCATGCAACAGAGTTGGTAGGCACCCTGAAATGAAACAAAGATGGCAAGCAAGGGGGAGGGATGTACCTGAAACAATCACAAGGTCCCAGTTTGTTGTGTCGTGGGCGTCAAGAGAATGGAGCTGGTTGATGCTGGGTACCAGCACTTGCTCGACAATTGTGGACATTTACAGTATATTACGATCCATTTTCTATGGTGCTATGTAAGTCTCGGATGCATACTGTATATAAGGATTGCTTCCCTGATTTCTTGATTTGTTTCCTAGCTTTAGGGTAAACCATGAGAGCACCGTCATTGTTTCATACGCCCGGTCGTTGTTACATTTCACACTTCACTGATGCAGTGACTTTTCTCATAATCTGGTCACCACATATCACCACACAATATATTCAACATACTGTATCGTGCTGATGATTCAAAATATGTTCCATCCGGATTCATAGTCACCCAATGTGCCTCATATACTTGTTTTTTTTGGGGTATGTTTTGTTTCGAAAGCACTTGACATCACCAGTGCGCTCTGCCGTGTCCCACCCCATGTCCGTGCACCGAGGTTTGTCGATGAGAGAATGCAGTACCAGCAACGGCTGGGGGAGATGGAAGCGCAGCTTGCGCATCAGGAGCACCTTGCCATCCCTTGTGGGGAGAATGATGATGAACCAGTGGATTTTGGGGTTCTCACTCAAAGATTACATCATGTGTTATCATGTGACAGCACATCTGGCAAAAGAACGCTGTGCAAGATGGTTTCTTACCGGCAATTGCCAGACATTTGGTTCCATGTCGACTTTCAGGTGTCTGTGTGTGTCCGTACTAGTTACTAGTAGACGATACATGTTAATCTATGGCCGGCCATTGATTTCGGATTTGTGCCTGATCCGTTGCCAACAGAGGCCCTTTGCGCCCTTGCTCTGATCACAATCCGCAAAACGATGCCAAAAGCAAGTCTCCCAAAGTTCAAATGTTTGCAAACGCTGTAGATGTAACATCTTGCAACCGTTGCAACCTGTACCAGTAGTACCGCACAAGGCGGTGGCGGAAGTTTCAAAAATAGGAAACCTCTAGGAGAGGTTGGTTGTTGTGAATCAGGGATGGCAGAGCGAAGCCACTGATGGACTGAAAGGTGCTTGATCTCTCTCTCTTTCTCTTTCTCTCTTTTTCTTTCTGTTTATCTATATATCTTTCTCTGATTACCTACCTACCTACCTACTGATCTATCTGTCTATCTATCTATTTATCTCTCTGTCTATCTATCTCCCTATGTATTTATCTAGCTGTCTAGTTTTCTAGCTATTTGTCTATCTATCTTTCCATCGATCTATCTATCTATCTATCTACCTATCTATCTATCTATCTACCTATCTATCTATCTATCTATCTCTATCTATCTAGCTACCTATCTATCATCTATCTATCTGTCTGTCTATCTATCTATCTATCTATCTATCTCTCTCTCTCTGTCTGTCTGTCTGTCTATCTGTCCATCTATCTATCTATCTATCTATCTATCTTTCTATCTATCTATCTATCTATCTATCTATCTGTCTCTCTCTCTCTCTATCAAACTGTCTCTCTATCTATCTGTCTATCTGTCTATCTTTTTGTCTCTGTACCTATCTATCTATCTATCGATCTATCTATTCATCCATCTATCTATCGATCGATCTATCGATCGATCTATCTATCCATCGATCGATCTATCTATCTCTCTCTCTCTCTCGCTATCTCTCTGTCTGTCTGCCTGTCTATCTATCTATCTATCTATCTACCTTTCTATCTATCATCTATCTATCTATCTATTTATCTATCTATCTATCTATCTATCTAGCTGTCTATCTATCTATCTATCTATCTATCTATCTATCTATCTATCTATCTATCTATCTATCTGCAAGATCAAAAACGAAGAAATTCTGCGAGACTTCCGTAATGTTGAACATAAGAACGTCCAATACGGAACCATTCTGCGAGACGTCTTCATTTTTTGAACTTGACAACATCCGAAACGAAGCAATTCTGCGAGACTTCCTCATTTTTCGAAGTGCAAGACATCAAAAACGAAGAATTCTGCGAGACTTCCTTCAAGAATGGAAAGTTGAGTGCAGAGCTCCACCTGTGTAAAGTACTGCGCCTGCCACGAAAAATTGATGCCAGGTCATACGATGTGCCGCACCTGTCACGCAAAATCATCTCAGCAAACCTGAAGATCTGATGCTCCAAAATGCAACCCCTCTCAGGAAATCAGCGCCCTGACCCCCTAAAATCTCTGATGAACATGTCTGCCACGCAAAATGCATCTTTGAAGATCCTCTTCAAATGTCCCACGCTTGCCAGCATTTTTGGAAATGCCACAAAACCCTCACGTTTTGCTCACTTTTGCCAAGGTGCACAATCCCTTGCGCCTGCCATGCGAAAGCACGTCTGAACGCCCAAAAGTGTTCCGTACCCGTCAGTTTTTTGCACTTTTGACTTGCAAATATGCTTCGCGCCACAACGGCGTGCACTTTTTCGACATCTGAACTTCCAAAAGCGGTCCGACGCTGAGGTGTTTTGTACATTTTGACTTCGAAATGTAACGGCGTGCACTTTTTCGACATCTGAACTTCCAAAAGTGGTCCGAGAATGGTGTGTTTTGTACATTTTGACTTGGAAATGTGCTTTGCGCCACAACGGCGTGCACTTTTTCGACATCGCAACTTCGGTCCGACAATGGTGTGTTTTCTACATTTTGACTTGGAAATGTGCTTCGCGCCACAACGGCGTGCACTTTTTCGACATCGCAACTTCCAAAAGTGGTCCGACAATGGTGTGTTTTCTACATTTTGACTTGGAAATGTGCTTCGCGCCACAACGGCGTGTACTTTTTCGACATCTCAACTTCCAAAAAGTGCTCCGAGCACCAGGTGTTTTGTACATTTTGACTTGCAAATGTGCTTCGCGCCACAACGGCGTGCAATTTTTCATCTCTCCTCTGGCCAGCTAGCTCCGCACCCGCCGCTTTAGCGAGCCTACTTTTCGACCCTCCGGAGCCCCAAATCATTGGAAAAACACAGTGTTTCGCGACTTTCTTACCTTTTCGCGCATCTGCATCTTCTTTCTTCTTACTCTTTCTCTTCTACTCTTCTTTCTTCTAATCTTTCTCTTCTCTCTGCCTCTTCCCTGCTCTGCTTTTCATCTGTCCATATTGTCGGAAGTTTGACTTCTAAACTTCCTTCGAACATGTAAATATTTCTTTAAATTGACAATTTGGATGTAAAATGATGTACAGAAAATGTGCTTCAACAGGTTGCCTGCAAACTGCAGTAGATACAAGCAAAGACAGCAGATCCATGCACTTGCCAATTTGATACATGTGCTTTGCTGAATCCTGTTGCTCAAGTAGGACCATGCCGTTGTGAAGTTACTTATCTTGTCCTCTTTCTCATTTTATCTACACAATATCATATCCTATCATCGAAGGAAGTTTAGAAGTCAAACCTCCGACAATATGGACAGATGACAAGCAGAGCAGGGAAGAGGCAGAGAGAAGAGAAAGATTAGAAGAAAGAAGAGTAGAAGAGAAAGAGTAAGAAGAAAGAAGATGCAGATGCGCGAAAAGGTAGGAAAGTCGCGAAACACTCTGTTTTTCCAATGATTTGGGGCTCCGGAGGGTCGAGAAGTAGGCTCGCTAAAGCGGCGGGTGCGGAGCTAGCTGGCCAGAGGAGAGATGAAAAATTGCACGCCGTTGTGGCGCGAAGCACATTTGCAAGTCAAAATGTACAAAGCACCTGGTGCTCGGAGCACTTTTGGAAGTTGAGATGTCGAAAAAGTACACGCCGTTGTGGCGCGAAGCACATTTCCAAGTCAAAATGTAGAAAACACACCATTGTCGGACCACTTTTGGAAGTTGCGATGTCGAAAAAGTGCATGCCGTTGTGGCGCGAAGCACACTTCGAACTCAAAATGTACAAAGCACCTAGCTCACATAACGTAATCTAATGCAGAGTTGTGGTTTAGCCAAGACATGGACAATCTACGCATACAGGTTTTATATTTTATATGATTGTTTTCTTTTTGTTGTTCCATGTGACAGGTATGGGCCTCCAAGAATCGAAGTAGCTAGTCGTGTTGAGTACACATGCATCGTGTCTAGTGATTTTTAGTTTCGAAACCATTCCCATTGGAATTCTTGATTCTTGACAGCAAGCCTCCAACACTGGTTGTTTTACCCAAAATGACAGCTAGTTTCAGCTACCTGAAATTGTTTCTGCTTTAGCGCGGTCGATTGCGGGCAGAAACCGCTGATTGCGTGATAGATTCAGGTTTCTTATACCCGCCCCCTCCATTCGGTTGTGAGGATGATTTCGACAAGATATAGATGACGCAAGTTGCGTAAGTCCGAAAATAGTCCATCAAGACGTTATTTTGTGAAGATTTTTCGTGCGTGATATCCAACCGCACATCTTCAAAGGGAAACATATTGTGGTTCTCAAGATAGTCTTGAACAGTTGGCCAGGAAGTTTGCCAATGTGTTTTTGTTTCGTCGGAGATTTATTTGCAACCATTCAGGGCTAATGCTGTTTATATTGAACCACGTTGGCGGCCTAGTACTGTTGATTCTGAACAGCTGCGAGAAACATTGACCCAAGGTGGTTTTGAAGCAGGATCACCATTTTGTTTTTGAATTAAGTGATTTTTTTTTGGGACCGCCTCGGCTCTTCTCAGTATGAAGAGCTTCACAAAAGGCTTGCTGAATGCAATTGATGTGTGTGTTTTGACATGTTTTGTGTATGCAAGACACTACGGAACTGTGTCACGAAAGCGCAAACTTGTGTTTGGGAGCAGATGGCTAGTCTGGGAAAATCATTCGAGGAATGACTTTCATGACTGTTCGGGGTGCATCTCGAAGTCCACACCAAAATCAGTGTTCTTAGTTTCATTGCACGTCGCTAAAGCTAGTCCAAAGGAAACAATCTGAATATGTAATGTATGATTCATGGTGAATCAACCTAACCAATTCAACACTTTGTACTGATGGTTGAAATCTTGATGACGGGTGTCTTGCTTCGCTGAAGGCTGTCTGTGGAGTGCGTGACTTCCTTTGAATTTTGCTTGACATCGGTGTGAGGCATCGAACGCTGCGAATACTCTACGATACTTTGCGTTTCTTGGTCGCACAGCACGTAAAGGTCATGGATAGGATATTGAACAGTACTTTGCATTGGGCCCACGCCAAGAATCTGAGGCCGGCAGCCTTTGGGATAGTTTATGTGTTTGTCATGACTGACTTCACACCAACCACAAATGATAGGCAAAAGGATATTGTTTCCAATAGCAATGTCAATTGCTTGGGTGTGTGTTTGGTAGCAATGAATTGAGCAAACGGTGACTACTTGTGCCAGGCATAGTGCTTAATTACAAGTCCATTCTGCGGACCCATGATCTCTTGGTCGCTGAACAAGGCTGGAAATGCTGTGATACACACTGCAGCCGGTTCATGTTTTTGACCCATGTGTGACATTGGCATGTTTGAGTCAATACAGTTTCTCCATGTTTCTCCCAACAGTTCAAAAACTGGAATGGGGGAGTGAATGCATCGTCGCAGGCCTGAACTGAACTGACTCTCATGAATGACATGCACCTTTCTCAGACTCAGAGATCGCTTGAACTTCATCGTCTTCAAGATCTATGGAATCCTGTTTTCATTGAATTTCTGCCGAGGTGCTCCTTGACCTTGTACATTTTCATTGCAGAATGTCTGTCCTGAATAGACAGGTACCAGATGCATGTAATAACATACACACGATGGACTTCCATGGATTTCCTACATGGTCTTTTCCAGCCACCAACCTGAAAGTGTCACTACATCATGCCAAATCCTTCGAAAAGAGCAGTGAGTCATGACAGGTACAGCCTACAGTCATCATCTACTGTCTCATTCGACAGCAAGTGCCTGGTGCCTGAACCCATGCCTTTGACTCAGGCCTACTTCGCCTTTTATATAAATACAGCAATTTGCATCTTCAACACATGCCAGGATGCAAAGTGCATGCCGTCTTTGGCAGTCAGATATGTTCCGAAGCTGGAATTACAGTGTGAATCGAACGCACTTGTTTCTATATAATCATGCGCCATGATTGAGAAGGAAACCCTTCCGTGTCTAAGGTAAGCAGCTGCTGGATTGAGGCACAGCTCGGAAAAACACTAAAGTTGGATGAGTTGGTGTTTCTGATTGACACTGCAGATGTTCGAAATACCAGGGCAGGCGGCATGCAAAAGCTGTAACAAATGTAATTTGGGGCAAATTTGCTCCTTTTCATCTGCATCGCCACTAATGTCAAAGAGCTCAGTCGTTGCTGGCCCGAGCAGGCGCTCCACCAGAGATTCACATCCGTCAACACGCTTTCTGACTGGGAACCAAAAGTCTTCAGAAAAAGTGGAACAGCAAAAGCCCTCAGGGATGCACCAATCCTGTCCATCCAGCACTTGAGCTCCTTGTGGACCCACTATGCTTGGAATTCCTTGCAAATGACGATCTTGAAGAGAAAAATATCACTGCTGTTAAATTTCATTTTGTTGATGAGATTCGCACATTGGGACAGGTCGCGCTCAACAATTTCACACTCCACACATGGGATCTCCATGCCTCATTTTGGAAACATGCATTTGTTCGACGTGTATGGGGTTCGACATGTACGGGCAATAGGTTAGAACTATTGGGAGATCTTTCTCCAAACCTGCCAGCTGGTAAGATATCGCAAGATTGAACTATGAAGTGAAACAGAAGATCGCAAAGCAATCATGATGCATGTGCTGCTACAGCAGGCTCTTTGTGCTTGAAAGCGGATATCACAGCTGCAGCGTTCAACTTTTCAAAACATTTTTCTTTTCGTCCAACTGCAAATCACCGCGGCATACGCTGACTAGTGACTAGTGGTTTGAGGTGGTTGCAAGACATAACCAAAAAGGGCAAACCGGCTTTTTCTTTCCCCTGATCGGGGTTTTGCATTTTTTGCTAGAAGAACCTGATATCAGTGAAGAGTTGCAGCCACTTGCGGCACACAACCTGAGACATCCGAGACATTCGCCACGATGTCGATGGTGCATGATTGGCGCCCATGCACATGGCGGGTAAATGCCCAGCTGGAAGCATGGATGCTTCTTGGCCGGGTATTTGAGATGGTCTGTTTAATGGATGTCAACATCTCTTTGTCTCTGTCTCACCTGCCGTTCTTGTCTGTTTTGAGGCATGTGCAGCCGGCTGTCCAACTTTTGTTTGTCTCACAGCTGGCACGGCAGCTTGCTGAGCAGCTGGATTGTGAAAGGGGCTGCTGCCAGCCTCCAGTCTTTGAGGCCAGCGTGCCTCTGTCAGACTCCCAGCACAGAAATTTCCTGTCCCAGAGAAGTTGAAGTCCTTGTGTTTCACATTTTAATCATGTTCAGAATGCAAGGTGTTCAATGCCTCGACCAATGTTTGAAAAAGCGTGGAACTCAGGAAGTTATGCAATTTTCAGATGATTGGATGAACCCTTCATGCATTTCCTGCCCCGCTGAAGAATTTGGGGATCAAGTGCATGGACCGGACTCTAGCAGTCGGTGCCACATCAGGGTCCCTTAGCGCCCTCATTTTTCGCTTAGTCACCGGTGTTCTGAACCCTAGCATTCCTCCACCGCCATTTGAGTGCCCTGTGTGTCCGGAGCTGCCAAACGTCCTTTTGCTTGGAGCCTGGGAGATCGAGCCCTACAGCTGTGGCCTTGGACTTCTGATTGGCCTGTGCGTAGGCCCAATATTGGAGTTCCTCTACCTGTTGCGGCAGACCTGGAAGGTTTGGTTGGAATCCAAGCTGGTGAAGCTATCGGAGAAGCCTGGGTGTTTGTACCGTCTTGGATGAGTTCCGCAGCACCTGCTACCAACGGGTCTTCAGTCTCGACCTTAGAGCAAGAGGTGGAAGTTTTGCGACAAGAGGTGTGTGCTCTGTGCGATCGGGTGCGCGAGCTTGAAATCCGCTTGCCCCCTCCCACGGAAAGAGCGAGCACAGCGAGCTCTACTACCAGTTCGGTAGAAGTCTCTGGTACAGCTCTCGGTGCTGATCGCATCGCTGCGGCCAAGGACATTGGGCGGTGGATTGATAGGTGTTTGAAAAACCAACCAAGGGGTTTATCAGGGCGACAGCGCATCCCTCAAGCTAGTCGTTTGTACCTGGTGGTTCGTGATTTTGAAGGGGTAGTTCGTAGTCCTCCATTGGTTCTTTTCACAAAAGAACCAACCTGGTGATTCGATCTACGTTGGGCTTCCTACCAAAGAAGAAGCTCGCTTGGTGGTACGTGAAGCTGGACTCAGTCTTCCTCCCGCTTTGTTGCGGGCTTGATGGCTGAGCTGCAAGACGAAGAGGAGGAGGGCTCTGCTAGAGGGTCAGACTTGCCTGAAGAGTTTGACCTGGAGCTCAGTTTTGTGATTTCAGGAATTGAGACCAACTTCAACTACCCAGTGTTGGTGCTGCAAGACGTCATAGACCCGGAGAAGCACTGTGAGTGCGTTGCTGTCACCCGAGTGGACGGGGAAGTGCTCCTGGCTGTTCCTGAGAGAGGTTGGCACAAAAAGCGGGTGCATCGAAAAATTGCGCCCTCTGCTCTGACAAAAGCTGTCCGAGTAGTTTGTGCCGGCTGCCCTGCTGCTGCGAGAGACGAGCCTGAAGCTGTTCCCACTTTGAAGGCATGGCTGGGTCTGTTAGACCCTACACTGGAAGCCCTGCTCACCAACGAGGCGGAGGCCGGTTTGGTTTTCCCTCTGGATGCGGCGGGCAGCCCGTTTGTGCCCTATGCCCCAGCTCTAGTAGCAGTAGCTCAAGACCACTTTGCCTTTGTCACTGCCTACGAGGGTGGCGAAGCAGGAGAGATGAAGGTGAGAATGGAGAAGCTGGAAGATGGCCTAGCTCAAGTCTTAACCGAGCTAGGAAGACTGCGACAGCCCACAAAAGTGACCGGGCTGACTGCTACACCAAAGCCGGCCTCAGCCAAGCCTCAGAAGCAAGTGGCCACCGCAGCTGCCCCAGCCGGGCTGAGTGCAGCGCTTGTACAACAGGCACTGCATGCCGGAGTTTCCCAACAAGCCCTAGCCGAGGTGAGTGCTCTCTTGGGAGGAGTCCCAGCCAACAAGATGACGGCTGCCAACGCCCCAGACTTCAAGGAGCTCACATCCGACGACGAGGAGGAGGAGCCTGCCGTAGGCGCATCTGGATCAGCAGATCCGGTTGGACAAGCGGTAGTACATCTGTCGAAGATCGTGTCGGAGATGAGGAAGGAGAAGCTGAAAAAGAAAGACAAGGGTCTGGAGTCCATCTTGGATCACGCAGAATCTGGTGCCCCAAGAGATGCCGCTCCCAGCTCCTCCAGTCGCTCGCACATGGCCGCTCTTCGATCTCTGCAGAAGTTGCTCGACCAGCAGCCTCACTTGCTCTATCGCGAGATCGAGAAGTTGATGGCGGAGGATTGGCAAACTGGAGGAGCTATGCCGGGCGTCGCAATGATGCCCACGACGGCTCGTGGCTGGTTGGAGCACAGGAGCAAAATTGGCAACTATGTGGGAGCCATCCGTCCCGCCTGGATCATGGCTGGAGCTTGGGACGACCTCAGACAAGGCAATGCAGACCGCGCTCGCGCACGACTTGCTTTGGGAGTGGCTGGGAAGATGAGCCTCGAACATCCTCCTCCATATGGGGGCTTCAGCGCCCGCCAGCCTCCGGATGTGTGGGAGACACCTCACACGCGCCTCATCGATGGCCGCTGGTTCGACCTGTTGATCAGCAAACTCCGCAGCTTGGCCGACTACCAGGAGAAGAAGGCAAAGCTCAATCCTGGCAAGGGCAAGGCCGAAGAAGGGCAACCGAAAGCAGAACCAACAAAGAAGCCTCAAGCGAAACAAGGCGGCAAAGGAGGAGGAAAGAAAGGAGGAAAAGGGGAAGAGCAAGCTACCCCAACACCTCCGTCTCAGACCACCTCCTAGCGAATGAGGAAATTGCTCTGGACGAAGACTGTCGCCAGAAGGAGGCGTTTCCGGAGCCGCATGTGTCTGCTGGCGTTCGAGTACCCGGTGCACGGGCAGAGACTTGTAACGTCAAGCAGCTGTGGAATTCATTGATGAGATGGATTAGTTCTACCTCGTCTTCTTTTTCCCGTTTTTTGAAGTCTTTGCTCAGCACTGCACCGCCTGTTGAGGGTGGTACAACCTCTACCTTGTGGCCTATGCCAATGCCCTATCCTGCAGTCTGGTCCCACGAAGTTGGAACTGAAGACGGTGCGGCGATCACTAGAGCTCAGCAGAGGGCTGTCAATTTGGTGATAGCCGCACTGAGCTGGCTGCATATGGGGCGCCCTGGCGTTGCTCCGTCATCCATGTCTCTAGCGGCTTCTTTGTCCAGAAGGCAGTGGCAAGTGGTTAAGCGTTTTGAGAGGCAGATGGAAGATGTGAGTGAGAGTGGAGATATAGATGCGGCCATGATGGGCCGCACAGCTGCTAAGGTAGAAGGTTTGGATGCAATCATTGCGGAACTGCAACAGCGGGCTATTGCTTGGAAAGCTGATAGCTATGAGCAGCGTTGGCAAGCACAGGACCGTCGAAACCTGGCGGCAAAGTACAAATCTGGACATCAGCTCCTGGACCCTGGCGTAGTTGTGGGCAAGTTGAAAGTAGGCGTCCCTGCTTTAGCAAAAGAAGTAGATGCCTCTAGGCTGTCAGTTCCCGAAAAGCCTCCAGAGTTTGATCCTGCTGATTTGTTTGGAGAACTTCATGCGACAGTTTATAAAGACCCGGTCAGCCAAGCTATAACTCCTCATGAAGCTGATATGATGCCTCCCAGAGTTAGAGTACATGCTTCTAGGGATCAAGCTCTTCGTTTCCTGCAGTTCTTGGATGAGCGCCGGCGTTTGGAGCTAGTGCCAGCTGAAAAAGTACGAGAGTCGCACCTTTGTGGAGCTTTCGCCTTGACCAAGGACTTAGAGAAAGATCGATTGATACTAGATGCCAGACCTGCAAACATGTTGGAGAGAACCTTGAATGCTTGGACCCGGACGATGGGATCAGTGCAAGCGCTGTTGCAACTTGAGATTCCCCCTACAATGTCTTTGTATTTTTCTGGGACAGATCTTAGGGATTACTACTATTGTTTTCGGGTTTCATCGAGAAGAGCATGGCGCAACGCTATGAGACTGCCTTTATCACCTGCAGAAGTAGCCGGGCTCAACTGTTTCTCACCTAGCATGAAGCACTACAAGACACTGTACCCCTGTTTGAGTACCATGGCAATGGGAGACAACAATGCTGTAGAAATGGGTCAAGCTGCTCATGTTAACATTGGGATTCAAATTGGAGCTATCAAACCCAAGGAACTTCTCACAACTCATGGCAGAGCACCTAGGAGCAACATTGCGTGTGGCCTTATTATCGATGATATCATTTTTGCTGAACAGCGAGAGACACCACCTAGTGATGCCGTGCCTTCAGAAGGCGCTCGTCGGCTGCGGGCTATGTGCGCTGAATATGAGCGACGTCATTTGTTTGCTCACCCTCGCAAGACCTTTGTGGATGAGAACACGGTGGAATTTTGGGGAGCAGCTATGAACGGCTCTTCTGGGTTGGTGAGACCAGCTCCGACACGACTGGTGCCACTGCTGTCGCTGACTGCAAAAGTGGCCAAGCTTGGTTACGCGTCGGTGGCTCTTCTGGAAGTTCTGGCAGGAGCTTGGGTTTCCGTTCTCCAATTCAGGCGCAGGACTTTGTGTTTGTTGGATGCTATTTATGTGGCTCAGCGAGGTCGGGAGTCGGATGATGTAGTGCGGATTTCTGGGCACCTACAGGATGAGCTTTGGTTGCTTGCCATTTTGGGACCCATTATCTGCACAGACATGAGGGCACAAAGCATCCCTGAAGTTTTTCTTTCTGATGCTGCGGAGGAGGCTCAAGCAGTGGTTAGTTGCCCTGTACCGCAGTTCTTTACAAAAGAGTTGCAAAGGCACTGCCTTACCAGAGGCAGTTGGAGCAAGCTTCTTTCGCCTTGGAAGGTTTGGTTGAAGAGTCATGCCCAACTGCCCTTGGAGGACGAACTCCCGGAGGGCGTCCCCCTGGTTTCTCACCCCTTGTGGCTTGAGCTGGCGAAGACCCTGCAGTTTCAGCAAGACATCTTTGTGAGAGTGCGGAAGAAGAAGCACATTAATTTCCTGGAGCTGGAGACCATTTCGCTCTTCGAGCGGAAGCTGGCTCAACGCTACCAGGATGTGCGCTATGTGATGGGTGCTGACAGCCAGGTAGCTCTTGCCTGCTTGGTCAAAGGCAGATCAAGCTCTCCTGCACTTAACCAGTTGTTGCAAAGAAGTTTGGCAACGGCATTAGGTTGTGGCTTATACGGCAACCTGGGGTTCGTCCCGTCTTTGGCCAATGTGGCCGACGACCCTACCAGGGATCGACCTGTCCGAGCTCCAATTGAAGAAGCCCCTGCATGGCTGGTCGCCGCATTTGGCGGGGATTTTAGCAAGATGGACAAGTGGCTGGAACGATTGGGGTACGACCCGATGCATGTTGCTGAGTTGCCCTTTTCCGAAGGCACTGAAATCAGTGCCACCGCGTTAGCTAGGGAGTTGGTGCCAGGTCTGCGCGATGTACAGAAGCCTGACAGGCTGACAGGTTAGACCGTTTTGACAAAGTCTTTTATGAAAAGAAAGCCAACGCTGTTCAGTTGTATAGTGAGCCCAGTTGTACAGTAACAGCCGACCAAGACGGTGCTGCTGCATGTAGTTCTGCGTTTTTGGTAGCCGCTGATAGGTCAGGTGTCTCACCTTTGGAGGAACATCAACAAGAGATTATTCAAAATGGGGATCAAAAGGCATGCAAAAGCCAAACAAGAAGTGAAAAAAAGAGGCCAAAAAAGAAGAAGCTGAAGAAGGCCCACACAAAGACTAGTCGCTGTTGGTTTGAGCAGGGCACCCCCTCTGCTATAGGTAGGCCAGTTAGACCAGTTTGCCTGCAGAGGCACCCTAAAGTAGGTAGAAGCAGACATGCAGCCATGGACAATGAGGAGTCAATGAAGGCTCCGCTGTTGAGCGCAGCAGCCAGAGCTGCTTTGGCCGCTTTCCCTGCTGCACAGTTCTTTGCGCCGGGTGGCAAGCGAGCTCCTGCTGGGTTTCAACCGCAGCGCCGGGGAATCCTCGACTTATATAGTGGAGATGCGGGCGTCGCCCGCGCTCTCAGCCGAAAGTATGGTGTCTGGGTACTGACCTTTGGCTTTGACCATGGGCCAGGGCAAGACCTGCTGAATGAAGAAGTGCAACAAAAAATTTTTGCTGCGCTGGAAGCGGAGAGTTTTCTAGGAGTAGGTGCTGCCCCGGACTGCAGCTCATTTTCCAGGGCAGTCACTCCTGCCGTCAGAGATACTGAGCACCCTTTTGGCAAACCTTTTATTTCTGAGAATATGGAAAAGAAGGTACGAGTGGGGAATGCCCATGCTGCTTTTATGCTGCGCATCCTGCAGTGGTGCGAGGACCATGAAATGCCCTATTGGGCGGAAAACCCGGACGGGAGTTTTCTCTGGTTGCTGCCACCATGGATCCAAACTGGCATTGGGTCTTGCGCCCGTTCTTACAGGTTTGACCAATGCCGTTACGGCACTCCTTGGAGAAAGAGGACTCGGGTAGTAACCAACACCCGACTTGCTGGCCTGCGCGAGCTTTGCCTGGGCTGTCACAGCCATTTGCACTTGCGTGGGAAGAGCACACAAAATAGTGTTTGTTGGACGAAAGTGGCACAGGTGTATCCCAAGACGCTATGTGAGCGCCTCGCAGATGCACTGGCTGATGCTGCTGGCCTTTTGCCTATGCGCCGCAGGTTAGATACTGCGAGCTGCGCACGCTGCCTGACGGCTCGAGTGGGCGAGGCAAGCCATCCAGGTCCTGCTCGACCTCGAGATCATGGACCTCGTAACCCTCAGCTTCTTCAAGATATGCGCCTTGTTGAACCGCAGACGGCAGCAAGACAAGACAAACTTTGGTTGGAGCTCGAGCAATGGCTGCGAGAACGTCTTAGTCCTGACACTCTTAGCCAGCTTTTTCTTTGCCCCGCTCTTGCGGTCAATGTCTTGCAAGCATATGGCATGTATTTGTTTGAGTCTGGACGAAGATTGTACGAGCTGCGGTATACTTTGATTGCTGTTCAAAACAACTTCCCCCACATGCGCATGCTGATGGGGCCGGCTTGGGCTGTAGTCTCAAAATGGGAGATGGTACAACCTTTGCAACACAGACTCCCTCTCCCTGAGTTGCTCTTTAAGGCCATGTTTGTCCGCGCTGCTTAAAAGGTTGGCATCGTTGGGTTGGCACCCTTCTGCTGGGATACGAAGGCATTGCTCGAATTGGTGAAGTCCTCAAAGCACACAGGTGCGATCTTTTGCTGCCCTCCGACCTGCTGGAGACTGACACTGGGGTTGCTTTTCTTCGAGTACGCCAACCGAAGACCCGTTTTCGAGGTCGAGGCCGGGTTCAACATTTAAAGATTAAAAATCCCCTTGTTTTGCCGTTTTTGGAAAGAGTGTTTGGCCAACTAGACCCTTCACTTGCACTGTTTCCTTTGACAGCGGGCATGTTCCGCAAACGATGGGATTGCCTTCTGGATTTGCTGCAAGTGCCTCCACGACATCGACCCACGCCTGGTAGCATTCGTGGAGGTGGTGCTGTTTTGGCGTATCGCAGAGGCGAACCCATAACTGACATTTTGTGGCGGATGCGATTGCTTTCTTTGCCTACTTTGTCTAGTTACTTGCAGGAGCTTGCTGCAGACTCTATGATCACCCATCTTCCTCCTCGAGTGCGACACCGGATCCATCAAGTTGCTACCCTTTTTCCTTTGACCTTGCAGTCCCTGGGCTCAGCCACTGGCGTACAAGCTCGTACCTACGGGGACGGCCTGCTTTAGAAGCGGATGGGGGTACTGTGAAGCCGGCCTACAGCTGCCTGTGATCCATTACGTGTTTGTCACCCAGATGGCTCCTTGTTTGATGCAGCAGAGACCTTACGTAGCTTCCCAGCACCTTTGGACTTTCCACAACTTTGGCAAGCTGAAGCAAGACAAAAAGTGAGCGGTGCTGACATGCATGAACCCTTCATGCATTTCCTGCCCCGCTGAAGAAATTGGGGCCCACCGCTCCCCCCCGTGATGGGGGTACTGTGAAGCCGGCCTACAGCTGCCTGTGATCCATTACGTGTTTGTCACCCAGATGGCTCCTTGTTTGATGCAGCAGAGACCTTACGTGGCTTCCCAGCACCTTTAGACTTTCCACAACTTTGGCAAGCTGAAGCAAGACAAAAAGTGAGCGGTGCTGACATGCATGAACCCTTCATGCATTTCCTGCCCCGCTGAAGAAATTGGGGCCCACCGCTCCCCCCCGTGATGGGGGTACTGTGAAGCCGGCCTACAGCTGCCTGTGATCCATTACGTGTTTGTCACCCAGATGGCTCCTTGTTTGATGCAGCAGAGACCTTACGTAGCTTCCCAGCACCTTTGGACTTTCCACAACTTTGGCAAGCTGAAGCAAGACAAAAAGTGAGCGGTGCTGACATGCATGTTATATCCTTGTCAAATCAGTGATATATAATGATTTTATATGATTTCATTTGTGGCCCTTTGTGGCCCGTTCAATGTGGGCGACATTGCCAATAACAGTAAAACGGATACGACTCCCCCAAAATTCCACGACATTTTGACACCAGCCCCCTGCTGATGTCCACGCCATTGCGTGAACCTGCTGTGTTGCATGCTTTGTCTGCGGGGTCCTTCCCAATCAGGACCTTTTGCCAGTGGCTTCCACAGAGGAGGAGTCCGAGAAGGACAAGAACAGGCATTTGGCCGGTCAAGATCCAAACTGACACTTAGTGGCCATGTCTTTGTGAGAAAAATTAAGTACTGTACCGACTCTCAGTCAAAGGCACATTGCGAAGACATTCTAAGACGATCTGTGACACAATTGTGAATCAAGCAGCCGGCTCATGCAGCGTAACTACTCCGTGTCTTCTGAACTCCTTTCCTTCCGTGCTCCACGGAGGCGACTCTCATTCGGTACGACGACTACGGGGGTGCCCGAAGAGGATGATGTGCTTTCCGAGTTTGAGGTGGGGGAGGTTATCAATAACGTTGATGATCATCCGGACGGAGACGGTGGCGTTGCACAGGCCATTTGCAGTGAATTCAAGGATCCAGTGTGTCGACTGCTGACTCTTCTCAAATTGTTGCACGTTTGACGAAACTCATGTGGGAGAGGTTAGGTTTCAGGTACAGTTACAGCTTTGAAAAGCACCAGAGTTGGTGTTTCTGGTCAAGTGGGTGAGCTATCAAGGAGCCAGAGGGTTTGGTTGGACTAGGCGGCGAAGCCGCAGATATCCGGTGAAAGCATTGATTCGGACGGCGAGTCCGAGGTGCTCAAACGGGGGGGAATCCAAAAGAAAGAAGGTGACACCCCGGGTGTAAGCGAGAATTTTTATTTCATGTTGTTTCAGGAAATGGAAGGCCAATTGAAAGATGTTTGGAATTTAGATAGAGGTACTCCCATGCATACTGAATTGAACTTGAAGTCATGTCAGAGAGGTGCACAGTTGCAATCTAAATGCGAAGCTGGACAAGGGATACGGTTTTGGGACTTGGAAATGCGTGCAGCATCACTTGTCGGATCCTTGAGCACCAAGTATAAACATTTCCACTTTGTCCTTTGTTCTCAGAATGTTTTAACAATTCTTGACACCTAAGCACAGGTTGGCGCTAGCTCCCCTGTCTTGTGTGGACTGTGTCTTTGCGGGTGCCTTGGCCAGGTCAAGGAAGCGGAGTCCAGGTGCGGCTCGCAGCTGAGTCTGCTTGATGCATGAAAAAACACGCCTTCGCACCAGGTTTGAAGAGAACTCTTCAAACTCGAATGAGGCCACTCAGTTGGCGCCTTCGTGTTGGTGAGCACATGTGTTTTGGTCGTGGGGGGGTTTAGTCCAATCTCTTTTCCGAATCAAGTCGCTTCACAATCTTGTGTCCTTCCAATGCCCCCTTCCCAGTATATGATGTCAGCAGTCTGAACTTCGGGATCCGTTGCAGCCTTGATATGTGACAGAGGTGGATGGTTCGAATGGTGCTTCATGCACTGGGGCACATCAATCAGATTGCACGTGGAGACTTGGCCACACGTTGTGAGAATGGGTCTCTTTGTGATCGGAGTTTTTTTCCAATGGAATTTTGTTTGAACTTTCTGACAAGATTTCGGCAATTGTTTCTTGCTAAGGGCTTGCGAAGTTGCAACAACCTTGCAAACAAGCGAGGGTTCCGATGCTGTCAATGGAGCCGTTCGGCTGGAAGTTGATGGTTGATTATTCTGGGGGTCCGGACAACCTTTCAACCCAAAGACAAAGAACTGTGGGACCCTTGAAGCTTCTTTTTTGGTGGCATTTGAGTGCATGTGCAGGTGTTAGAAAGCCTCCTTTGACTTTCAGGATTTGAAGCAGTCATGTTGGTGACATGCTTCCGTCTGAAATGATACATACGGCTTCTGAACGTTGACCAGGTTGTTCAAATCGGTGCAGCTGATGCATGCGCTCCTCAGACTCTCGTCTGCATTTGAAGTGGAGTTCCTTTCACTGCAAGGCATCATACAAATCGAAACATCTTTAGATTGTCTCTGAATTCGTGGGTTTGCTTTGTGTGTGTGTGTGCATCAAGACTAGCATGCGATATGAATCCTTGGCGACTGCAGGAGCGAATCCTTGGAGGCCAATTTCCTTCCTGAGCTACTCGGCAGAACAAAAACAGATTGAAACTGATCCCATTCATGGTCAACAGCTTGCTGCGGTGCTGAGGATATGTCTTCACGTGCTGGGTTTTCTTCCTGTGCCTCAACTTATGAAAGGCTACATACGAGATGTGCACAAATAAACGAGTTGTCAGGCAGAAACGGAATTTGATCATTGTTGTTACAGCTGTTATCATTATATCATATCATTATATTATATTCATATCTTTTCCCAGCCTGAAAATCCTGAAATTTGGCAGACCGAGCCGAGGTGCAAGAAGTAATGAAACAGAAAGTTCGGGCAGTGTCCAGCAATTTTGGCTGCCACAAGGCTGGTGGACGAAAGGATCAAGCTTTGCATTCCGATGTCAACTGAGTCAACTCTCAACTTTTAAAGATGGCGCAGGTCTGGCTAACTCACTTGTTCCGCTTGGTGGACATAGATACACTTCAGCCGCTGAGTGATGTACCGTCGCGTGGCTGAATGCAGCAGTTTTGCAGGTTTTTGCTGTGTCAAGGGCTTGCTGTTTGCGATCGCCTTTCATTTTTTAAGCTGGGATATTTTCCAGGGATGTTTGTATGAAGATCACTCTGGGGAAGAGAGCAAATCGCATGTCGTTGCCCGCTCTTCTTTGTGATTGCTTACTTTCTCGTTTCCATTCCTGACCCTTTTCAGCTTTTGTCCTTGTCCTGTTCACCTTTCTAGCGTACCTGCTTCTCTTTTCTTTGCTTTTCTTTGGCTCGTTCTTCTGCTTCACCTACACCCTTTTGCCTCTCCCTTGCCCATTTCAACTGCTCCTGCTATTGCAACCCAACTTGCGATCCTGATGACAGAGTGTGAGCACTCCAGCCAATGCCAGTTGGCTAGGACTTTCACTACCGGTAGTGCGTTGCTTTAGGTGCAATCTGCTACTCCCAAACCCCACTCGTAAACCCGATTCCTCGTCACCACCTCCCACCCCCCCCCCCCCCCCCCCCCCCCCCCCCCCCCCCCCCCCCCCCCCCCCCCCCCCCCCCCCCCCCCCCCCCCCCCCCCCCCCCCCCCCCCCCGCCACAGCCACCGCCACGGCTGCTATTGCTAGCCATTTCGAAGTTTAGAAATAAACATGTGTGTATGCAGCATATTCACTTCTCAGAATCTTGTCCTCTCAGAGGTCAGAACCTTGGTGACATAATGCCTAGGATGGCGCGAGAGTGGCATCCCATTGAAGAGTTCACAGCTTCGATGTCGGTGACGCGCGTTGAAACCAACTCGTCATGGTCTGATGTCAGAGACAGACTGCTGTCAACGCTGCGACTTCGTGGTGATTCTTCAGAGGGCGTCCAAGGTGGGGGAGGTTTCGCAAAAGCAGCTATCAACTTGTGCTGTGATTAGACGACAAAGGCTTCCTGCATGTAGCCGACAAACAAAAGGTTTTTGGGAGGCAGCAAATTAGCCAAGGAATGCCAAGGAGTGTTCCAATGCAGGGATTGGAGTGCATGATACTCTTGTCGTTTACGTACCTTCTTTGCGCCTGTTAGGCTGCTTGCAACTCTGGTTTGGCCCTTCGAAGCGGATTGTCGGAGGCAAGCACCTCGAATATTTCAATTTCATCAACGCGAAGACATTGGCTACTTGCGGGCTTGGAAAGAAGCAGGCGGGTTGCGACACACGCCAAATATGCCCAAACTGTGGACAGGTTCTTGTTGTTTCCCCTAATACACCACCCGAGGTTGAGGGGTTTCAGGGCCACGTCGCGGCAAAACGACTGACTGATTTGTGCTGAGACACACACACACACAGGCCTGCAGATTAAGAGGAGAATGGCAGCCTCCTCGAATTAAGCTTGCCACATGGCCTGGAATTTTATGTGCCCATGACTTTCGCAGTGAAACAACAGAGGCTCAAAAGTTGTCTGTCAATGATGAATGCATCAGAAGCGGGCAAGCATCAGAGACAGGAAAAGGTTGAAAGGTACTGAACGATTGACTGAACGATTGTGAAAGACTATTTATCAAGGGTCCAACAGAATGTGCATGAAACATCCTGAAGAAGGGTTTGTTTCATTTTATTTTGTTTTTCAATTCGCACCAAAAGGACCAGTTGTCAAAGTTGTCACCATGTTTGGTCAACAGGACATGCTACTGTGACGCAACTTGGAGGCCCACTGAGGTGTACATAGACTTCGGTAGACCTGCAAGACGCTGAAAGCGATGATGTCTACTGGACAATGACGGGCGTAACATGAAAGCACTTTCCTGGACGCGTTTTCTGGAATCCTGTAAAGTCTCAAGCTTGCACAACCATTTCAAACAAAGAAGTGCAAATGAGTCATCTGGTTCCAGGACTGCAGATTTGATCGTGGGTCTGCGTTAGAAGTTTCCTTTTTTTTCACACTTAACCATTCAAGTTTCATGCAATCAAACATCAACTTGAAAATTGGCAGTTTCGAATTTGAATGCATGTTCATTCCATTCACATGTTTCGGATGAAGCTGAATTTATTCTCTTGATGGCTCCAAGCCATGTGTGTTCTTGGAATGCATTGGTTTGAAAGCGTTTGCATTTGTTTCTTGAAACAAGCTCGCAGAGTGAAACGACCGAGAACTGCCAAAACCGAAACTTGCAACTCACTGATGCACATATTTGAACTTACTGTAACTGTGCTGCATTCGCACAAACATTCGTGGATACTTGGAAGCAATGGCCTCGGCGAAGGAGCTTTTGGGTTTAGACGATGTTCTGTAATGTTCCTGTCCACATCCTACAGTAGTGGATTTGTCATAGGCCACCTTTTCGATAATCATTGGGTACATTGGCTAGGTTTTTTGGGCATCTTGTCTTGTTGGGTTTGTGAGTTTGTGTGAGTCTTTGGCTTCTGTGGTTTGTACAGCTGTGCGGAGAGCCCTTTGCCAAAGGAGACCTCGACGCCAGGTGCAGGCAGTGCCCTGACCAGAGCTGAGGCGCGTTCAGCAAGAAGTGGTTGTGTACATACGCTTCTGAGGATGCATGTTGTTGATTTTTGATGCACGTTGATGATTGCTGATGCATGTTGATGCACTTCATGCATGTGATGCTTGAAGTTCGCTTTTTGGTTGCTCCCAGCAAATCTTGAGGGACCTTGAAACAGTGGTGTTGCTGTTTTCAGCTGGGGATTTTGACATAGCGTAGCTTTGAAGATTTTGATTTCATGACTGAAAGGTCGCAATTTGATTCAAGATATTTAGGCCTTTAGTGAATGTTTTCACAGGCAAACTTTCCAAGAAGCATTGCCTAAGCTTTGCTGAGGATTTTGCCTAATTTTGTGATGTTTTGCGGTGTTTCTTTTGGCTGCTGTGGTTTGTACAGCTTTCCGGAGAGCACTTTGACAAAGGACACATCGACCAAGAGTGCTCAACAGTGGCTGGATAGTTGTCAGGCGCTGTCAGAAGGCTGTGCTTGTGTACAACCATTCCATTGGTGCATGTTGCTTAATGATCTTAATGCTGATGCTGTTGTCACGTTCGTTCATTTTTTTTTTTAAAGTGCCGTAGCTTGGGGCATGGCATTTCCGCCCAGGAGGAAGACTGTCCGAACTTGCAGGAGTTGGCAAAGCGACCCTTGGCTCCAGCCAGGGGAGAAGTTCTGCGGTGGATTGTGGAACGGACAGAGTGTTTGGTCCCAAATTGTGTGTGACCCGTTCCCTGGGGAATTGAGAATAGTTTTGGCCAGAGGGGAGGGAGGTAAAGGAAAAAAGTGGGAAACTCACAGCTCGGGTATTTTGCAATATTGCTCAGCCTCTATTAGGCCACTTCAAACAAGCACTAAGCTAACATTCAACCAGACCACATCATTCAACCACCTTCAACTTCAAGGCCTGAAGGAGACATATGGCATCGGAGCGAACCCTGCGGACCTTTTAAAGCGGCCGTTTCAACCTTGGACTCCTGAGGCCTGGAGCCGGGTGGGCCCGGGGAGCGCTGGTAGCGGAAAGATCATGGATACCAATGATTCCAATGATACCATTTTTTTGTGTTATGAGTTATGATTCTTATGTGCTCAGGAATGTTCAGGGCAAGATTGTTGGGCGAAAAAGTTCCAGGACACTGGTGAGCAATTGGTTTTGGAATGCTTTGGAGGTATAAGTAAATCTTGTAGCCGCACAGGACTGTGACCAGGGCTTTCGGATGTTTTCCAGCTTTAGTGAGGCCTTGCTGGATGTGAACGAGTTCAAGAGCAAGTTGTATCGCCTCGGAGTTTCTAGCGATTTGCTTCAGCCGTGGTTTTGGTCGGTCGTTCTTTGATGTTCTTTGTGCCCTATATACTTGCAGAAGCTGTATGAATAAATTGATCCAGATTCAAGTCGTTGCACGTGCATGAGATGTCGAATATTCTTGGATTGTTCGAGCAAGAGCTGAGATTTGTGATATTTTTGGGTTGTCATTTTGATCAAGATTTGGGGCTGAAAATAAATTGATTTGGGTGGATTTCTTCGATGTTGGTGTTCATTGATGTTGTACTCGAAACAGAATGCTCTCGCCGGTCATAATTTCGGTCACAAGATTCCAGCCCATCGGCTGTCAGCCGAGCAAAAGAACACCCCAAGGCTAATGCGTTTGGGATCCCAATTCCCTACTTTGATGCTATTGTGTGTTGCCACCTGGTAATCGATCTAAAGGTCCTTGTAAGGAGTTTTAATTGCGAAAGCCGTGCATATTAAATATATGTTGGATTGGAAACCCTCGCGAAAGTTTTTTTTGTCCGAAAGTAACATTTGTTTCGCGAAAGTTCAGCGAAAGTTGGATATCATGATTGCCTAACATAGGTTCCGCAAAAGATAAACATGGAGTTCCCGAAAGTTTCGCGAAAGTAACACTTTTTATTCGCGAAGAATGGCCGTTCCCGGATAAAGGAATTTTGATCAACCATCATCTATGTTCAGCTTGCAACACCCGTCCAAAATGCATGTGTGTGTGCAACTCTCATCATGAGCGCGGGTTTGACGCAGTCGTTGGTGTAGTTTTCTTGATTCCAGCGACGTCAACTTGAGGTTTTTAGTGATCTTTACGGCAGCTTCAACTTTGCATCTTGGATGTGTGTGTGTGTGCGTCCAGTGTTTCATTCCAAAGTCACTAGTTATATATGTATTGTGTAAGAACAGCATTGATGGACTTGAATTCAGCCTGCCAACGCTGGTACAATGCTGGAATAGATCACTACATCTGAGAGTTTCCAGGGAATATGGAATCATTCTCATTTTGGCTGCCTCACCCTGCACGTGCAAGTTTGGCTGAGCTTCATACTGATTCTACAGATTGCCTTACAAGATTGCAGTGTATCATGGTATGATTTGAGAGAATTTGTGACTTCTGGTACTTGGGAGCAGCAACATTAATTGCCCAGGCAGGGCTGTTCAAAGAGATGGCCGGGCACACTGATAGAGCCAGCAACTCCACAGCAGGGGTGGTGTTCAATCACTATCCGACATGGATACCTTTCAAGAATTATAAGAATCAACATGAGAACGGCACACAAAAAGGCTTGGAAGTTGGAAGATGATTGTCCATTGTTTTCGTTGATTTCTGATTGGAACATACCTTCCTTGGGGTCTTGCAGGTGTGCAGTTTTAAAGCAACTCAACTTGACTTAAGGCATGAATCATGAAGAACATGTTGAGTATGGCTGCTGATTTTGGAATGGTACTCTTTCAATGTTCAAGCTGTTTGGATCCTTGATCACAAGTTCTTCAATGTTCTCAAGGTGTTTCCGGAGAGAATGTGGAAACTGTTGGATGGTTGCAGTGAATTTCCCTGACAGCTAGATGCAACATGACGCAACCAAGGTCTTGAAGACGTAATCAACGGCCTCCAGCCCTTCTTCGAGGATGACGTTGCGACTCCGAGTACACCGGAGTTTGGTCGTCCCAACCTCAGTGAAAGAACTGGACTAATCCGACTTATCCTATTGGAGTACTATGGTGATTCGAGACGATTCCTGGGGTGGGGCACCAAGTATTTGAACAATGCAGATTCTGACAAGGTGCTGTATAAACCAATTTTTAAAATACAGGTTCCCCCCTCAATTTCAGCTGCCCTGTTTGCCTTGTTTTGGTGGGCTCTAATTTTATCTCAAACCTCCGGGTCCCAATTTAATTTTTTTTTGGGGTGCCTAAATTAGTGACCTAGGGCTCCAATTTTTATATGAGGCTCCAACTCTATAGACATATGTCGGTTTTGTGTGGTTTTGTTCAGTTGCCAATTTTATAGTGTATCAATGCATGGTTTCATGAAACAACTTGGTCACCAAAGGGTTCCAATTTTGTAGCTACCTGAAATGTGCTGCATGCCAGGGTCCCAATTTTATAGCACCTTTGATTTTTTGCTACATCAGAGCGCTCAAGTATGCGCAATGCTGGAGAAGAGAAAACATGAAAAACAAACATTAAAAACATAAAGTTCATCAAACATAAAGCAGTAGAAAAATCATGAAAACATTTTCACCTTTCAACATGGAAAATGTTTTTTCCCCCTGCTGCACACGTTTACAGTACATCGCGTGTTGGGGCATTACTTAAACTGAGATAAAATTGGGGACCGCATCATCGAAGGAAAATAACCCGCCCAAAAAATTCGACTTGGTACACCAAAATTTAATGTAAAAAAACACCTATGATCAAACCATTTTGGATGGCCCCAATTTTATAGAGGTCAATTTGGAGCTAGGACCACCCCCCAAATGAGCTGGGTGTCCCAATATTGTAGCGTTGTTGGGCTTGATGATATTGATGGGTTACTGGCAGGTTGTGATTTTATAGGGCTGATTATGTATGTGTCTGTCAGGCTTTCAATTTTATAGATGGCCCCTGAAGGGCATTTTCAAAGGATACATGGGGTCCCCTATAAAATTGGAACACCCAGTTCAATGGGGTGAATTGGTAAGGGGATATTCATCATAAAATTTTAGATGTGTTTGAAACAATAGTTGAATTTACGCATATACGTTGCGGAATTTCAGTAGTGATATACTTCTGACACACCTATCATGGTACCTTAATGAATCATTTCGGGCCTACAAAAATAGGTGATGCAATTATCCAAATGAAGGTATAACATGGTATAACCAAGAGTAACAATACTAGTTTGTCATATTGGGTCAGTGGTGGGGTGTGATCTGGCTTAAGCTCTCAAAGCAATGACACCAAGTAGCACCAACCCACTGATACCCCACACAGCTCATTTGTTTAAGATATCTACCTACTGACTGTATCTTCCGCTCGAGCTCATCACTGCCATCCAGGTTTGGAGATCGTGCAGGCCCTTGGCCCAGGGAATTCTAGTCACGACTGAAATGGTGGTATCAACACAGATGAAGCAACTAAATCTGAGAAACAGACACATATATTTTAAAGTTTTAAAGTCATTAGATTGATACAGTAGGTAGATATGTTAACCAAATACAGTGGGGTATAACTAGGCAAGTCATAACTAATACTGGTGCTATTCTGGGCCCCTCATATAGGAAGCGCAAGTTTTGGATGGGTTATTGTTTGGCCCTCGTTGCTTGCAGGATGATCCCACCCAAGACATCTTAAGTACTGGTTTCGAATTGGTGCCAAAGCCTAGCTATAAAGGGGAGACGTATCAAGCAGGCCCATGCACTTATTTGCGCGCTGTAGGTTCTGTAGCTTTTCTCGATGGCTTTGCAGGTACGTTAATAGAGCATGCTCAGTGCCAGATGATCGTTTTGCCATGTTTTGCCCGCACTATTATTGCAATGCTTGGCACTTTCAGTTCTCGGCCGCGCGAAAATGCGCAAATTATGATCCCCAGCGATTAACTATCAGACATCATGACGTTTCTTCAAGACATAGCTTTGGACCTCACCCCATTGTCCGGAACACGTGTGCATTGAATGTTTTAATATCTCCGGCCCACCTCATGTACAAAAGGCTGCAGCTTCCAACAAAAGACCCTGCGATACCCCAATTGACATCAGCTAAAATTTAGGCTTGTCCAGAATCTCAGAATGGGGACCCACAGACCCCTCAAGTTGTGACGGTCAAATAAGTGTTTTCATTTGAATAGGAAAAAGATATGATAAACTGTTAGATTTGGGTCAGACAAAGCCATTGAGGCAGACCAGCAAGCGCTTCCAATGAAAACGCGCGAGGGCACAGAGAAGGAGCGACGGATGCAAGGCTTGCAGGTGAGGCGAAAATGCAGATTTTCCATGATTTTCCCATGATCCAATTCGAGGCTTATGCTGAAGTCAGGTTACCATGTCAAGTTGCCGCCAGCCTTGCTGCCTTGGGCCTGAGGCAAATCAGAAACAATCTAGACGAGCTGCGAGCCACCAGCAGCTCGCTGACACTGGGGCTGCAGCAGGCTTCGATGGGTAGATGATGGGCCCGGGGCCCGCAGAAAGCAATTGAAGCCTTGAGTGGCTCAGATTTCTGGGTATTCTTCTTTCACTTTCACAGACGTTTAAGCAGTGTCTCACAGAAAAAAACAAATGACTCCTCTGATTTCTTTGGTCTTGACACATCTTGGCACATCTTGACACAGCATCTTGACACAGTTTGCACCCCCCTCAAACTCCATCAGTGATCACCATGGCATGGTCAGTCTATCTTGGAAAATCACGCAGGAAATCGTTGGGTTTGCTCATTTGGTTGCTGGTGTCAAACATGTGTTTCAACCCTGTTTGGGATGATGGTCCGCAAATGTCCACGATATCTTTATACATTTTCAGGGGGTCGGTTGAAACCAGCAACCAATCCTATATGGATGTATATGGTTTCCGTCTTCACCGCTGTCCAGAAAGTGCCAGGCCCTGGGTGCAGCAGACAACTTGCAGCAGAAGATCCAGGAGACTGAACAGCTGCAAGAGCAGCACCGAAGGCAACTGGAAGCTGCCGAGCACGAGTTGCCTGATCATGTTTAATGAAAGCAGGTGTAAAATTCAATTTCATTATCCTGTGTGCTTGTTAAAAAAGGCAAGATTTGGCAACGTGGAGCAAGGGGATAGGAAAGAGCAAGGAGAGAGAGAGAGAGAGAGAATGCAACAGCATGCAACAGCATGCAACAGAGTTGGTAGGCACCCTGAAATGAAACAAAGATGGCAAGCAAGGGGGAGGGATGTACCTGAAACAATCACAAGGTCCCAGTTTGTTGTGTCGTGGGCGTCAAGAGAATGGAGCTGGTTGATGCTGGGTACCAGCACTTGCTCGACAATTGTGGACATTTACAGTATATTACGATCCATTTTCTATGGTGCTATGTAAGTCTCGGATGCATACTGTATATAAGAATTGCTTCCCTGATTTCTTGATTTGTTTCCTAGCTTTAGGGTAAACCATGAGAGCACCGTCATTGTTTCATACGCCCGGTCGTTGTTACATTTCACACTTCACTGATGCAGTGACTTTTCTCATAATCTGGTCACCACATGTCACCACACAATATACTCAACATACTGTATCGTGCTGATGATTCAAACTATGTTCCATCCGGATTCATAGTCACTCAATGTGCCTCATATACTTGTTTTTTTTGGGGTATGTTTTGTTTCGAAAGCACTTGACATCACCAGTGCGCTCTGCCGTGTCCCACCCCATGTCCGTGCACCGAGGTTTGTCGATGAGAGAATGCAGTACCAGCAACGGCTGGGGGAGATGGAAGCGCAGCTTGCGCATCAGGAGCACCTTGCCATCCCTTGTGGGGAGAATGATGATGAACCAGTGGATTTTGGGGTTCTCACTCAAAGATTACATCATGTGTTATCATGTGACAGCACATCTGGCAAAAGAACGCTGTGCAAGATGGTTTCTTACCGGCAATTGCCAGACATTTGGTTCCATGTCGACTTTAAGGTGTCTGTGTGTGTCCGTACTAGTAGATGATACATGGATACATGTTATATAATCTATGGCCGGCCATTGATTTCGGGGGCGCTAGCAGAGGAGACAGGGACGCACACAAAATCTCCGTGAACGTGGAGCTGACAAATTTTATCAATAAAGCTCATTAAAAACATAAGATGACAACCACAATGTCACAGATGTGTTTGGACCATCTTGTTGCTATCGGAGGTTGCCATGCGAATCATGCGAATCAATGTTGTGGCTCCAAGGAAAGACATTTCAAAACACGTTCCAACAATCGACACTGCGTTCAAAAAAATCATCAAACATGGTACTGTAATTAATGGGAATTCTAAATTGGTATTTTTATAAAAATCATCAGAATAAACGCGTGATTTTCCAGCAAACCATCTTTGAGTACCAGAGGGTATCAATTTTATATGGGTCTATGTCTATGGGTCAAATATGGATTGTTGCCAAGCAGTTTGGGTTCTGCTCATTCACTGAGGCAAAAGTTCTTGGCGAGTTTGGCCATTGCCTACCTTGAAAACTACAAGGAGTCTCCAATCACAAGGGTGGTACTTGGTGTCATTGCTTTGAGAGCTTGAGTGATAGGTTCGGTCCTTTTGGGAGGTGCTAGGGCCATGGCGGCTATGGGTTAAAGCTTCAGTCCTTCTCAGCAGTCAAACCCATCCTATGCCCGGGGCCCTGCATGGTGAATGGCTGGAGCAGGAGCGCGCAGAACTTGAAGCCGCCAAGGACGAACTCAGACAGAGAGAAGCCTTGCAGTCTGGGATGTGATGAGTTGAACATCCATGAGAAGCAAACTGAATACATGAAACGTTGGTACTACTTGTACTATCCTGTCATATGTGTGCATCCATATGTGCGGGGACATATGTGTATATATATATATAATTATATATATATATATATATATTTGTGTGTGTTTGTATCGAATGGCGTATTGAATGGCATATAGTATAATATAATAAAACTAGTATAAACATATGATAACATATGAGCCATATAAAGAACATTGATCGTTGTTAATTTTTGGTTTTTGGGTGCTAGCTTAGCTCATGTCCCATGTTTCATCGTGATTCATCAGTTTTTTTGTCGCGAGGAACGCCACGCTCGTGAACTCCATGAGGAATCCTTGCGCACACAGATGGCGCATGAGGAGGCTGCACAGCTTCGTAGCTTGAAGGAAACCGGCTGGATATATAGCTCGGTGGAAAAAATGTTATGGGATGAATGTTTGGTAAAACAATACTAAACCATGCCCAAAGGTACCAAAGGTGGCATAAACCATCAACATACAAGTTTTACCCTCTTTATTCCAGCATTCCCAGCGTGGATGATGCCTAGGTCGGGAGATTGCAGAGGCCTTCGACTCATGAAGCACGGGAATTCTAGCCAAGATTGCAGCTAATTAAGTGGTGGCATCAGCGCAGATTAAGCAAACAAATTCGAGAAATAAACATAATAAACGCATACTGCATACTGTAAATTCAAAGATCAGTATATAATCAGTAAATGAATAAATAGATGGGAGATGGCAGTGGGACAGTTGCCAGAAGGATGATGGGGAGAGCCGGGAGAGCATGCCATAGTTGAGAGCTGGCACCTCAACAAGTGCCATTCTTCCCCTTTGCCTGTGCCAAACTTTTCGCTGTGTGAAATCCCGATTTTGACTCATTTTGGTGGGTCGCCTCTCTTTTTTGATCATTGTTGCCCGTGTTTGTCGCCTCCTTCCATGTTTCAATTCCATGCAGGCCGGTTAAGCCACCATATCTGCTGGTTGAATCACATCATAATGACCATACGTATAGAATCATATAGAAATCTTTGAAAATCATATGTATTTCACTGTTTGCTCATTTGATCATCGAATGTTTGAGCGCGACTCAATAGGTGCAGTCTGCCCTTGAAGCTGCTGACCGCAGCCGGGAAGCGGCGGAAGGCCTGCGGTGCAGTGGCCATTTTATTTGGGTAGCAAATTCGTTGTGATTTTTGGATAAATATTGATAAATAGATGTTAGATATGCGCTTTTATATAGTTATAGTTTCATTATATTTATGATATATATATATATATCGCATTATATCGCTAGGGGGCTGACGCTTGCCCGAAATGCACGGATTCCATGCGGGACTGCAATTTGCTGAGTTGTTTCCATGCGTGTTTTTTGAACACTGCGAGCATGTTTTTTTTTTTACCTGCGTCTCATTGCATTTGTGCGCCTACCTAAGACGGTGCCAAAATTACCTTTTCAAGCGTAGCTTAAAGATATCCTCCGTAATTTGCAGTGTTTTGAGCCGATAACTGAGACCTCAACAAACCGCAAGACTTTGAAAGAGTACCAGAACAACTAACCCAAAATAAACCCTAAACAAACCCTAAACACACCCTAAATCAATCATAAATAAGCCTAAATAGACCCTAAAACAACCGTGAACAAAACCTAAAACAACCCTAAATAGCAGAAAATTAGCTAAACAAACCCTAAATAAACCCTAAACAACCCCTAAAGAAAATCTGAACCAACCCTAAGCAAACCCTAAAACAATCTGAAATGTATCTTGAACAAATCACCACGTAACTATACCCCCAATGAAACTTTGGGCGAATGACCATGCACAAGATGTTGATGCTACGCTCACATGGAGTGGGGTGGGTGGGGTGGGGTGGGGGGATGCTAACGTTCAGCCGACTTTGCACAGGACTTTGATGCTGCATCAGTGGGGTGGGGTGGGATGGGGCGATGATAATATATGATAATGCTCATTCGACCTTGCGCAAGACTTTGATGCTGCGCCCAAGATGATCTAATCATCATGGTTTAAGGTGGGGTGGGTGCATGTTGCAGCAATTTGCTAGGATTCTGTTACAGCTGTTCGTTCTAACAAGTTTGCTGGAACTGTGCATTTTGCAATGGTTTGTTAGGATTGTGTTTGAAATGTTAGTGCGACCAAAAGTGCTGGAACTGTGCATTTTGAACCAATTTAATTTTCAAGGATTCTGTTAGAAGAAGACGATAATCATACCGTTACCAATGATGTTGTTGTTGTTGTTGATGATGATGATGATGATAATGATGATGATAATGATGATGAGAATGATCCCGTCGAACTCTTCCAGAAGGGGGGCAAATGGTGGGAGTTGATCGTATTATTACTATGTCGATTACTATTACTATTGTTTTTATTATTATTATTTGTCTTGAAACCCCCATGTTCCCAGGAGAGCTGCAGAGTGAGCGTTGGCGAAGAAGAGCTTGGAAGGGGCAGGCAAGTCGAGGTTGAAGATTTCAGGGGTGTCAGGGGTGTGACTCCATGAAAAGTTAGATGGCCGTGTTTGAAAATAGGGCATACCCAAATTGGGCCCCAAATCCAATTCTTTTTCATAGGCTATCCAAAGCAGTCGTTTATTTTTTCAAATTTTACCCTCAGCTCGGGCAGTGACATTTTCCATGAATTTTGGCGATACTCACATACATACATACGTACCTACAAACGTACAAACGTTCATACATACATACATACATGCATGCATGCATGCATGCATACATGCATGCATGCATACATGCACACATACATACAGACATACATACATGCATGCATGCATGCATGCATACATGCACACATACATACCCACATGCATAAACACATACATACTCTACATAGATAGATAGATAGATAAATAAATAAATAGATAGATAGATAGATAGATAGATAGATAGATAGATAATGATAGATATATACATACATTACGTACGTACGTACATACATACATACATCCATGCATCCATGCATGCATGCATACATCCATCCATGCATGCATGCATACATACATCCATGCATGCATGCATGCATGCATGCATACATGCACACATACATACAGACATACATACATGCATGCATGCATGCATGCATACATGCACACATACATACCCACATGCATAAACACATACATACTCTACATAGATAGATAGATAGATAAATAAATAAATAGATAGATAGATAGATAGATAGATAGATAGATAATGATAGATATATACATACATTACGTACGTACGTACATACATACATACATCCATGCATCCATGCATGCATGCATACATCCATCCATGCATGCATGCATACATACATCCATGCATGCATGCATGCATACATACATACATACATACTTACATACATACATACATCTATGCATGCATGCATGGGTACATACATCCATGCACGCATGCATGCACACATACATACATACATACATACATACATACATACATACATACATACAGACATACATTACATTGCATTGCATTGCATTACATACCATACCATACCATACTATACCATACCATACCATACCATACAGACAGACACAGACAGACCGACCGACGGACGGACAGACGGACGGACAGACAGACACATAGATACATAAACCCTCATTTGTACATACATAGAAACATATTTGTATATACATACATATATAATCGTGTATATGTATATATATATAAACCATATATATATATATAACATACACACATGTAAATTTATACACATATGTATGGATTTTGATGTAGATATACACATCCATATATATATATATATACATGTATTTGCAAGCATACACATTATATATATATATATCTGTATATATATAAATACATCTATTTACATACATATACATTAATATACATATATATATACACAAGATTACACACACACACATACATACATACATACATGCATGCATGCATGCATGCATGCATGCATGCATGCATGCATGCATGCATGCATGTGTATACATACATGTTTATAGATATTCATTTATATATGCGTACAGTCATTGACAGAATTATGGAAAAAAATTCAATTTACAGGCGCCGCCTGTCTATGATAGAAAAGTTACGAACCTTTTTTTTCCCATCATTATTGTTTCCATATTTTTTTTCCCATAATTCTGTCGGTGACTGTATGTCCATCGATTCGCAATTTGAATGCATTTTAACGGGGAATATTGAATTATAGAAAATACCATACCAAGAGGTTGTATCCCAACTTAAGAATTACATATGAGGGCTATTACCCATGGACCATAGTGGTACCAACAAAGGAAAACAACTGCACCACCAAAACTCATTGTTGTACGTACATGCATATGCGGGATGTTTCCTTTTGCCAAGCCACCAATTGGGTTGATACTACATACTTGCGTTTGCATACATATTTCCAGAACTCCCCAAAAAAAACGGGTTTGAATTGTGGATCCATGACATGTCCAACAGGTGGAGCCCCAAACATTAATTATGGAAAAAATAATTATGGAAAAACCCGTCAATCTGCCCTAGCCCCCTGCCTCCAAAAATTATGGAAAAAAAAAGGTTCGGATCACTTCCGGGATATTTTGAACCCTTATGGGGAAAAATCCAACTATGGAAAAATCGGACGCAGGCGCCGCCTGTCTAAGTTGAACGTTTTTTTTCTATAATTCTGTCGGTTACCATATATACATATACGTGTATATATGTATACGTATATTTACATGCATATCCTTATGTATATATATATATAGATGTTTTTTATTAATATATGTATGCACACTGTACTTATAAAATAGGTAGTTCTTTTGCCTTTGGACTCCTTTGAGGCTTCAAGCCTGCTGGCATTGCTGCAAGCCAAAATGTCGGGCAAACCTGCGTGGAACCCAGAAGTGAGCAGATTTTCTGGGTCCATGGGGGGGGAAGTAACAAACGTTCTAAAGGGAACATTGACATTCTTTTGACCATCTTTTTTTGTTAAAAATTCATCGTTCTTTTTGGCCAAATGATGACTGTTTTTCTGGAAATGCCCGCGCATGCATTGCCTGACTGAGATCAAAATCGCCGAAGGGGGTCACTTTGAGCTGGTTTAAGGCTCCTCTGGGGTGTGTCTGGAGATGTTGCACGACGCCCAAAATGGCAAATAGTTGGGGAAACTTATGACTAACCAGCGGATTGTAAAACAATACCAACGCTATAAACGGATCCATTTATATGTTTTTCTTGGGTCCCCAATGACCTGATGTTTGATGGACTCTTTGTACCTACGACAATCTTAGACCTATCTTGAAGGCTATGTGGGCCGATCTTGAGGCAAAAAACCAAAACGTTGCCTAGCTGGCCTAGCTAGGTTCGCCACAGCGACGCCCCATGCTACTGAAGGACGAACTTCTTTTGTCTGCTTCCCTCTCTCTGGATCTTGCGGTTTGCTCGCATCATTTCTTGCCCCTGATTGCAATGTCTTCTCTGACGCGCTCCGCGCTCCCCCTTGCCGTCGGCAGGGTTGCCGGATATGCTTCAACATGTTTCACTTCTTGGGAGTTTTTAATTCAAGTTCAGTGTCTGACACCGTGAATCGCCGTGAATCGCCGTGAATCGCCATGACAGCATGACAGCATGACGGTAGCCATGAGAGATCCGTGCGGATCCGAAGGTCCCAGCACGAAGCTGCCGCCGCCATCGCAGCCGCCGCCGTAGGTCCGAAGCCTCAGACGTCGGATGTCGTAGCTCAGACACGTTGCCTCGACGTTGCCTCGACGTTGCCTCGACGTGGCCTCGACGTTTGTCATGTTGTGTGATTGCTCAGATTGCCAGGCAAGATGAAAAACGACCCAGTGAGACCCGGTGCCGAAGAATGGCACCTTCCAAATGCATAGGGGTGTGTTGGAAGGTTCCATATAATAAGATATAAATGATATAATAAGTATTTAGATATGTCTAGGGATGAAAATGGAGAGATTTAGTATTCACTCTTGTTTATTTTTTGGTCCTCAAACGTGAAACATAATCATGCACATGGAAATCCAACCTTTAAACATATTAAAACTACAGTGTCAAAAGTCAGCCAAAGTTGAGGACCTTGAATTCTGATCCCCTTGCTTCGTTTAATATCGTTTAATGTCAATGCTGGATCGGACTGAATCTGACAGTTCAACAGTAGGTGTTGCCAGAGGTCATCACATCACTGGTGGATTCACTGAGTGACATGAAGTGACATGAAGGGACATGAATGCACGTGGCATTTCACATCATTTCGCGGATTCCGGGTGTTCTGCTCTGTGTACAGATTTCATGGTTTACCCGATGGTTTCGATGGTTTTCGCTTTCCAAGCCACCAGTGAGTCGTGAAGAGTCGGACTTCTTAGTGTGGCGTGTCCTGTTGATTTGAAAGCGAGCAATGAGACAATTCTTTGGCACAGTCGAAGGTCTATCAGAGTCTAGCATTCTTTCTATCACTCTTTATCAATGCTAGTCCAAAACTTGCTATGTCTTGAGAATGCGTCCAGTGATGCCCAAATTCCCCTTCAAATTTTGTTTGTTTCTGCTTTCGAATCCAGAGGCGAACCGAGTTGCGAAACTTCTGCTTCGTAGCTTCACAACTGTCAGTGTCAGAGTTGGTGTCACTTCGAAGAATTTACAAACATCTCTGAGATCTCTTCTGGAGCGAAAGATCTGTAGAAAAAATCGGAAGCGACACTACTTTTAGTAGTAGCTGCTGTAAGCCAAAAGGCCAATGTACAATGCCGCCAGGCATCCGCCAGGCAAAACGAGCCAGACTGACATGGCTTAAAACGGAAAAAGAACCTGGCAAGATCTTGCGACCCAGGATTTTGTTGGCGTTTTCTGTTACTCTGTTTGATAGTATCAGCTGTATGAGCCCATATGAAGATGAAGAGAGCATTTCTTTTTGCAGACTCTCTGTATTGTCATAGTACTGTCTGCATCTATTTGTTCAATCTGTAGTTAGGACATTTATTGTAGAAGCGTCACATCGGCAAGGGATCCTGTCAGAATCCTTTGAGACAGTACCCCTGCGGCAAATGCTTTGAAGAGCCGTATCCGACAGAGGAACTGAAGGAGAAACGGGAGCACCTTATAAAGTTTATAGAGATATATCATTATATCATGATTATTAACATATATCCTAATTGATCTTATTGCTCATCAAAATCAATATGTCAAAATCTAAGAGATGTGTCAGTCCGCCGATCACAGAAGCATATTGGAAACATTTGGGAACCCTTCTCAGCCCATCAAGGCTTGGAATTTTGGTATAGTTGCTGGCTTTCGTAAACTCGAGGAATACAACAGCTGGAAGTTTTCCGGGCCTGCTGCATCGCCAGCTTCTCCTACATGTTTGTCCCAACAGCAAAGAAAAAGGATCGTTTGTGATAAAGTGTGATAACCATGCTGCTAAGATCTGCTGAGCTCATAGCTGATAGCCCATGCCCTCTGAACGGATTTGTTTCCCCTTCCAACTTTGTTCCTTTCCTGATCGATCCTGATCGTACTTTTCCAGGAGGTGCCACAGCTACCAACTCCAGTTGAGAGCACAAGTTCACGAAGGCAGCCGATGCTTCAAATTGGTCAAAGATGACACATCATATTTTTTTTTTAAAAAATAATACATCATATCATACATCATACACAATAATACATATGTACAATTGTATGCAACGATATGCATACATATCATAATTCATAAAATTATATGTAATTAAATATATAGCATACATGAAGGATACTGAAGGTATTACCTGCGACGCTTCCAGTGAATTCACTCTGACCTGACCTTGTTCGGTCAAAGCAGAGCTAGTCAATGTAGTCAATGGTTGAAGCAGCTCTTGTATTTTTGAGAACGCAGTCGTGCAATGATCCTTGGCGCTAGTCCTCTGGTGGTTCTAGTACCCCATTGGTACATACATGTACATACTATTGTGAGTACAAGGTTACAACATTTTACAACTTACAGTGACGAGACCGGAGAAACAAATTCGCAGGAAAACAATTGTGGGCATCCCTGGAGAAGTCCGGGAAGTTCTGTCCAAAGATGCCAAGGACAAGCTTTGGCGCATGCTGAAACGGTCGCAGAAGTCTTGCTGCAAGAGTCTTGCCATTTGAAGCCATACTGTAGTAGACATAGTAATTAGTAGACATGCATTTGGTTTTTTTGGACATTATGTACTGTGGGAGATGCTCCCCCATTTAGAAATAAGGAGTTCTTATGAAAAGACTGGGCTCACATATACCTCAACATTTACTCTGACAGATGATTTCTACTGTGTTGCACCTCCTCATTTCAAAACCATTTCCCCATTCCTTAGCATGTTCTGCCCAGATGAGTTTGTATGGGAAACAGGCGGCATAGCTTCACTTGACCAGTCCTATTACTACTTTCTGTGTGACTCCATCTTTGCCGCATGACTCCAACATATTCCAACAGCTGTAGGCACCGTAGGCACTGTAGCCACTGGTTTTGTGACAGATGTGACAGGACAAGCTGGTGGCAATGGTCACACCGGTGCCTTCTGCGGTGACGGTGGCTTCGGCAGTTACAGTCGCGTCCGTGGCTTCCGTGGCTTCTGTGGCTACTGTGTCCCCTCCTGAGGCCATGTGGCCACCATGGGTAAGAGATGGTAAGAGATGGTAAGGGTTAGAACTTGGACCACTTGGATACCTCAAAACGGAATTAGTTCAACATAGTTCAACAATTGCCAGAAATCACTAAAATCAGAGGCCCTCTTTTGACCCGCAGGTATGCATCCGAATATCCACGCAGACGGAATTGAGCTACATGAAGCCGAACAGTTTGGAGAGATCATTTTGTATGGTTGGTATGTGTTTGTTGATCTTTGGTCCATATCGAACCAATGCTTTGTTCTTGTGCATACTGTATTGAAAATAGCAACTAGCATGAAGCAATGTCTTGTCCATGAGAGCAAGTTTTTGAAGCAATTGGAGATGAGAGGGTGATTCTCAGTAGAGTAGACCAATATTTTGAATATAAGTTAAGTGTAAACAAGCCTTTGGGGACAGGTGATCCTTCTCTCTCTAACAAGTGCTTCCTTTTCTGTGTTTTTAGGGGCCGCGGATTGAAGCGAGAAGCAACGAAGAGAGCCAGGCTGGTGATTTGCCGGTGTTGTACGGCAGGGACATGCAGAGATGATGCCAGCTGTAACAACTGAACCACTGACGAGCTATTACTACAATTGACATGCTTTGAGTTGCTTCACCTCTGAAAAAACAACACGTACAGTGATTCAGTTCCCTTCTAGGCCTACTCTTCCCTCAATTCTTGCAACACTTCATTTGGGATTTTCCGCTTGAAGCTGGTCTTGTCTCCTCCAAATGGGAACCAACAGGTTAAAAGTGCGCCATTGTTATATATATATATATATATACATAAATGATTATATAAACAATGATATAATATTATAGTTGCGTCTTCATTGCCCAATGGATTGCAATGGTGTCTTTTGAGAGCATTTGTGGCGGGTTGCTCATCTGTGTGGCCGAGGTGAGCCGCTTGGAACCACAGAAATTTGTGCCTGATCCGTTGCCAACAGAGGCCCTTTGCGCCCTTTGGGCTCTGATCACAATCCGCAAAACGATGCCAAAAGCAAGTCTCCCAAAGTTCAAATGATTGCAAACGCTGCATCTTGTAACCGTTGCAACCTGTACCGGTA